ACGTCGAACCAACAAGTCCATAAAATATGCAGGATAATTGCCCATAAGAAATTCATCTACAAACAAATTAGGTACATTAGCTAGTGCATTAGTGGTAGCAGATTCTGACCCCTTTAAGCATGTCTAATATTTCAACTTCGTTTTCTTCCTCTTCTTCTTCCTCTTCGGATGATTCAGTCTCCATTTTTATCAGTTTCTTCCATGTACATTAGACTATTAACATCTGCATCAAATTTAAAAATTCTATTTATGGAATGTGTTGTGGCACAAGCTGCATATTCCTGTGAAAACCCCAATGGAAGTAAGCAAGTATTTCTGTAGATGCATTTGTATAGCCATTTTTTGTCTTACGGTTCTAGGTACGTGATCTACATAGTATTCCAATGACTGCTTTGTCCAAGATGTAAAATCCGCTCAACCATTGTAAAGTTGCTTCTATACAATACTGTCGATTACTTTACCTTTTTCTTGTTATTCGTTGTAACTTTAAATAATGAAAGAAGTTTCTAAATGTACCACGTTTTACATAATCATTGCCTAGTAATATTGCAGCTAATGGTAATTGTCCAATGTATCAAATGGTATGTACAATGTCCCAAACACATAAAAATCTGAATCATAACTCGATACAGGACAATTCAATATCCTTGCTACAGTAGCTATAGCATTATCAGCTTCGAATAAGCATTGCACATGACGAATATTCTTCTTTCTCGTAACATCTTTGAAAACTTCCTAAATATGTAAAGGAAAAAATTTCATTTTCTGTTGACAGATCGGAGAAAAAGATGATGCTGTACGAATCTTTTCTTTAGCTCTAGATATAACTGTTTGCAGTTTCTTATCCTTGCAACCGCCATCGATCAAAACTAATGGTACTACATTGCACTTTAACAAAACGTCAGAAAAAATCCGATACTCGTTGAGCGTATTTATCGTAATCACCGCCAAACACACAATTGCACTTGTACGAATTATATATTTGACAGCTAAATAACTAAATACGTATCACGTGGCTCGAAATATTCCAAATAACGATCTGAACGATTGTTTATGAAAATTGTTAAACCTGGAATACCCATTTTGAAACCTATTTATTAATTTACACTTTTCTTAATGTTTCATATCACAAACTAAGTTCGTTATGCGTATATCAATATTAGTTATTATGCATTTATACATAGGTTGCATGTAACAGGTACTTACACAAATTTTGTGTCTTTCGTTGTTTTATTTGAATCAGAAGTTTGTTAAATATTATACTTTGACTACTTGGATAAATCAAAGAAATACAAGAGCCGTGCATAATGTTTTTGCATTGATCTTTACGATATTACAAACCGGTATAATAAAAAATAAAATTAGATAGTATACTGATCTTGCATAATTAAGTGCATTGACGGGCGACAATACTAACGACGAATTTCCTTCCTATACATATAGGCAAATATACCATGTTCAGTTTTATTGCATAACTTGTTCCATAACAGAGATGTAAAGTGTCTCTGAGTTGTTAAATATAAAAGTTGTTACAAAACAGAGATGTAAAGAGTCTCTGAGTTGTTAAATATAAAAGTTTTTACAAAACAGAGATGTAAAGTGTCTCTGAGTTGTTAAATATAAAAGTTGTTACAAAACAGAGATGTAAAGTGTCTCTGAGTTGTTAAATATAAAAGTTGTTACAAAACAGAGATGTAAAGTGTCTGTGAATTGTTAAATATAAAAGTTGTTACAAAACAGAGATGTAAAGTGTCTCTGAATTGTTAAATATAAAAGTTGTTACAAAACAGAGATGTAAAGAGTCTCTGAGTTGTTAAATATAAAAGTTTTTACAAAACAGAGATGTAAAGTGTCTCTGAATTGTTAAATATAAAAGTTGTTACAAAACAGAGATGTAAAGTGTCTCTGAGTTGTTAAATATAAAAGTTGTTACAAAACAGAGATGTAAAGTGTCTCTGAGTTGTTAAATATAAAAGTTGTTCAGTTCATTGCATAAGTTGTTCCCACAAATGAGATTTTCTTGGTCTTTAAAAAGACCGGTTTTGTCCCTTGGCCGCCATCTTCGATTTTGATCGAATGTAAATCTTCAATTAAATTCTTCATCTCGATGCGGTCTGTCTTGCTTGGTGGTTGGAGATAACTCCCGCGCGAGGGCCTCAGGGGGCTCTTATAACGTTTCAAGGAGCACGGACGATGGTCACCCCCAGCGGACTGGCTGCTGATTGGCTCGTTGATTCTTTGGCTTGACTGCATAAAAGTGGACACAGCTGGGCAACTATTTTCAGTACTCCTGGAACCGCCGGGGGTACTGTCACGCGTTTTTGTTTTCTGTTTCAGATATCTTCTGCGATGCTGACCAGGAAGGAAGGATCACCCTTTGGTTTTGGTATAGATACAATTAATATTAATATAACTAATGAAAATATTGTGTTTTTCTGCATTTTTATGTATTTAGGTATTTTCATATTTGGGTTCTTCGTTCATCTAGTTTTATCTATATTCATTACATCGTTGGGTTGATATTTTTCAATTTATTCTATTCTATCTTCGTCTCGCTTTCATCGTTGGTTTGTTCTTTTACGATTTATTTTGTTATTCGTCTTGCGCTTCGTTGGTTTTTTAATTTTCAAAATTAATCTATAATTCAAAGTACACATCGTTGGTTTCTTTTTTTTCGAATGATTCGTTTCGTTAATTTACTTCGTTGGATTGTTCCAATTCCTTATTTCAAACTAATTTGTTATTTAGGTTTTATTATTTGTCTACATGTACACATAACTACTAATTTTTATTTCAGTTTTTTACCAGATCAATTTCTAGGAGGAGGAGGAGATCAATAGATGACGTCGGATTCATCGGGATTTACACGTAAGCGATTAATTTTAAGGCGCAGCGCGAATGTAAAAATTAACGTCGAATTTTTCTCTTTCCTTCTTTTCCTTGTTTTTCCGATGTTTCCTATATTTCATTAATTCACATTAATTCACATTAATTCTCAATTCCACCTACGACGTTAATTTTCAATTTACATTGTATATTATTTTATTTACTGCGTAGATTGCCAAGTAATGAATGAATTAATAGCTTCTTTTCCAGTCTCGTTTCTCCGGTCACCGCTGCTTTAATGTAGAAAGCAAGTGATCGGCCGTTTAGATGGTTCGAAGGGTCGGTTGCCGTCCTCTGGTGAGACAATTCTAGGGAAAGAGTCATCGGCCGTAGAGGGGACCTGTTCCTGTCTGCGGTAGCCCCGACTCAGGATCCCTCTCCTGTGTCAGACGTCCCGGGTTGGGTCCTACGGGCTCCCAGCAGGACGCGTTGGAGAAATGGGGAACCCGTGTCTGGTGCGTCGATTCTCCTCCCCTTCAATTGGACTTGCTAAGAGGTAACGAGCTGCCCCTTTTGACCCGCTATTCGGTACGTGTCGCACCTCATGTTCCTACTGCACTGTGCAGTATTGTGTCGCGTTTCGTCGTGTCGCGTCTCCCACAATTTACCTTCCTCCTTTGTTTTAGAAAAGTAATTACTTGGCATCTTTTTTTTTGCGTAATCTAGTTTCTAAGTGTGTAAAAAGGAAGGTCGATCGAACTTTGTTCCATCGATCTCACTTTGGGTCTCCAATCGCAGCAACCTCCTCGTGGTGAGACCTGGTAATCGGTGTTACCTTTCAAGAAGAACTTCTTCATTATGGGTAACACCGAGCTAATGGCTGCGAATTTAAAACAATATAAATTTCAGTTTTAATCGAAATCAAAATGAAATGTTGTCTAATACTTTTTTCTAGGTATTCATGAGCTCAACTTCTAGAAAAAATTTCAATGATATAAGTTTTACTATTGTAAAAGTTATGATCGTTTGAAAATTGACAATTTTTCTGACCAATTTGTCACTTTACGACGTTAAGGAACAACTTTTCGAATATTCTTCGTATTCAATCCCCAAGCAACACGGACCGTATCGAGATGAAGAATTTAATTGAAGATTTACATTCGATCAAAATCGGAAGTTGGCGGCCAAGAAGATGTTTCACGAGCAGCGGCCAAGGGACAGAACCGGTCTTTTTAAAGACCAAGAAAATCTCATTTGTGGGAACAACTTATGCAATAAAACTGAACATGGTATATTTACCTATATAGGCGAAAAATATACAAATACAAATTGAATTTATTGAATTGATATTAAATAAACATTCTTTGCTATAAAATCAAAAAATTATTATTTGAAATAATAGAACAATTAGAAAATAAATCGTTTGAAAATAATTTCGACAGTCTTACTTGATAAACTATATTCAAACGATTTATTTCCAAAGTATTGTTTCATGTCAAACATGATCAGGGGGTCTTGAAACGTGTATTTACGTGTCAATTTTTCATTCAATATGGGCTTTGGTTATATGTATATTTGTGCCCATATAACTTGAAACGTGAAAATGTCGGGGCAGTCGAGATTCGAAATTGTATGCCATTGACGCGAGGACGGACTTCAGCTGTTCAAGAGCAAGAAGGAAAGGCTCCTGTTCACCGAAGTTGCATGAAGTGCTGACCTGGCGTAACATGTGGCTGGTGCGGTAGGATATGTCGGCTTTCCCCACCACTCTGTTAAAAGCTAAGGAAGTTCGTCGTCATATCGAATGAAAAATTTTCACGTAAATACACGTTTTAAGTGAATCCCCCCGATCATTTTAAATCTTGATACTTAACGATCTTAATTTAGAAATTGTATAATTGAAAAAATTACGCTGAATATTACACAAAATTGTTATCGCGCGTATAATGTTTATTTAGTACTGTAGCTATTATACAACGCGGAACTTTCAAACGTTGACAACGGTAGCAGTATCAAATGCGCAATGACAAACAATAAAATATATTCCATATTCGGCTTAATTTAATCACGATTTAATCGAAAAGTTGAAGTTCGAGGTGTATCATGAAATATCAGTATTCTTTAAATGACTGTAATTAAATTGATAAATCTGTGGCTCTATATATTAATTGTACTTTTATGTTTCGGTTATGTAATGCCAATAAGCAGCGAAAGAGCGACGCGGGTAGGTTCGACATTTTTATCGAATATCGTGCAAAATCGTAATTGGTATTTAATGAAAAAAATAATAGATGAAACGAATAATATGATACTCACATATTTCTTGCATGTTAAAAATTATTATAGATAAAAACAGTTGCCTTTGACATAAAAGACATTAAAGGAAAGTCAACGAAAGCTCATGTAAATATTCAGGAGAAGAATCATTTTCTAACAATTGCACCTGCTTTACCAATTTTACCAGGAGCACCTGTACCACCAAAACTATCTAAACGCTGTTATAATTCATATAGGTATTGATAACTAGTTAAAATCAATATATACCGATAACTATGCCAGAAATTATCGTAACATTATTTATTTTGTATGTATGACTATTAAATTATAATGCTGTTTTATAAATTTTATATGTAGCCCAGCAGATTCTCCATTTAACGTAGAACATGCAAAAGCTGAGAACTCTAATACAATTACACTGCAATGGACAAGCGAAGGAAAAACTATTGTTGCAACAAGAACAATTGCAGAGAAAGAAAAGAATCCTGATAGAATATGTCTTGATAGACGGGGTCTTACTATATTTCCAAATATAGTCGAAGAACCACGATTACGTTTATTGTCCCTCCAACATAATCTTCTTACAAAGATTGAAAATTGTAACTTCCCTCAGTTGACGAAATTAGTGTTTCTTGATTTGTATGATAATCAAATTGAAAAAATTTGTAATTTTGAATTGTTAGGAAATTTAAGAGTATTATTAATTGGAAAAAATAGAATAAAAAAGATTGAAGGCCTAAAACAGCTTTCTAAATTAGAGGTGCTAGATCTCCACGGAAATCAGATTTTACAAGTATCAGATTTAGATAATCTTGCATCTTTAAAAGTACTTAATTTGGCTGGTAATAATATTAAAGCGATAGGCTATCATGACTTCCAAGGATTAACATCGTTAAAAGAGTTAAACCTCAGGCGTAATAAAATCAAAAAATTATTAGGTTTTAGTGAAACACCACAACTACAGAAATTATATTTAAGCAATAATGACATTCAAAAGTGAGTATTTCATTCATTTAAATAATAAAGATGCACCATGGTGAAATTTTTTTTGTCAACATTCCAGAATTGAAGATGTAGGAAGTCTTGCAAAAGCATTGCACCTTAGAGAAATAACAATTGATGGAAACCCTATAACTCTGAATGGGGACTATGTTTCCTTCCTTGTGTCATATTTACCAAATTTGCAGTTTTTATCCACTATGCAAATCACAGAACAAATTCGAAGAACTGCTACGGCCTGGAGGACATCTAAGGAACAAAGTAATTCCATTTTTTTAAACCTCAGCGCGCAAGTTTGTATGAATGCCAGACGGGAAGAAGTTATATCAAATGCTAAAATAAATTGGGAGCTTCTCAGATGTCATTCTAAATCCTCTGCAGATAACAATGGAAACAATGTTCGAAAGAGTAATGTTAATCCACTGCAAGTTCAAAGATCGAACGCGTTCAAACCTAAAAACTTAGAGAAAGTAAAGTCAAAAGGTTTTGGAAGTTTGACTTCCATAAATGAAAACATTGAAGCAACAAAAATAAACATAAAGAAAAGAAGTAATTCCAGTGATAATTTATTTCGACTAAAAGACACAACTAAAACGTGTCCATTGGAATTTAAACTTCCACCAATTTTGGGATCTATTGTAGATAATTTAATTAATAGTAAATTCGATGAAAAAGTAGGTAAAGGTAGTAAAGGCTTGATAAAAGCAAAAACTAGCAGTAACGTTGGTAGTGCATCGAGCAGCGATTCAGAAAGTTCAGAAAGTCACGAAAATCTGAAAAGTTGCTTGAAATCTCATCTGTTAAACTCTAACAAACATATTTCTCCTTGTAATGTCAATGAGTTTGTAACTAATGAAATATTCAATTGTCTGAGTGGTTCTGCGCCAACATTAGAAACCACAATTAATGAAGCAGAAGATAGTAAAAATTGTAGAGTTTTCAAATCTTCTGAAGTATTAATAAACGATGACAAAGATTTAACAAAAATCGGTCAGAAAATAAAAATTCACGATCAGCAAAGTTTAAGCGATTGTCAATCCAAGTCGAGCGTCGGTTCCTCTGGATATTGTTCTTCTAAAACTAGCAGTATGGATAGTTGTAAATCAGTATTGAGCGATTCCAGTACATCTCCTGTCACTAAAAATGTCTTATTAAAGTGCAAAAGTTTTGAGAAAGATAAAAATAGGGTAAAGAGTGCTCAGGTAAAGAAAATTGTGAGTTATAAAAGTAATAGAGCAGCAACTGCTAGAGCTAAATACAGAGCTTTAACACCACAGAGTCCTCCTCCTTTGCAAAATCCACCAAAGGAAAGAGAACAAGGTATGTAGCAATAATTTACCCATAAACTTTTGTACAAATAACTCTGGTAGATACTAGCAATAACAGAATTCATTCGTGAATGTATAAGCGTAACATTTTTTATTGGTAATTGTTTATAGGTGGAGATTATTTAATAGAAATAGTCGGTCGATGTTTAAACGTTTACGGCCAAGGTGCATTACGTTTTATCGATCGACCATGGGATTCTTCAAAAGCTGAAGATGTTAATGTAGTTAAATTCAATTATGTACAGTTCAATGATGTGGCCAAAGTTTTATGTAAAATAAAAAATAGATTCTCGAACGTAGAACATTTTGTGTTTAAAGAAACTAACATCAGTTACCTTGGGCAGCTTAATGCTTTAGCCGAAGTACAAGGATTAACAAGCATTCACATAGAGACAGGAAATCCAATTATCTCAAAAGACTGGAAAGTGTATGCTATATTTCGTTTAGCTCATTGGGGACTCAAAATTATCAATGGAAAAGAAGTAAATATTTATTAATATTATTTTATGAAAAAAAAAAAAAGAAAAGAAAACGGAAAATTATAAAAGATACATTCTATATACAGATTACAAGTGAAGAAATCGACCTAGCAAATAAAGAATATGCTGGTCTTGTCGACATAGTAATGTACTCGCTACCAGAGTCTTTGTTACAACCTTTGTTACAAAGACTACATTTAGAAAAAGTGCAAAGGCAAAGTGAAGAACAAATTACTGCCAAACAGTTCTTACTTAACAGCGATCCAGCTCTCAGAAGTGTGGTTGCCAAAGAGGCATTGCAATGGAGAAAAGGAAGTATAACACAGGTGATAAAATGCAAATAAAAAATTTTGGTAATCAGAAGTCAATTCAACTTCTATCTTTTCTCTTGCTGAATTCCTTTTTCAATAACAGGAAGATCTTATTTGGAGACACAGAGGGAAAGTACATCTGTTGAACTTAATTAATCTCACTGTAGATGCAATACAAAAATTGCAGTTACTTGAAAATAAATGGCCAAATATTTTATGTGAAATAATTCAGACCACTTTATCTGATTTTTCTGAAATGGATGCATACATGAAACGTTGCAACGAAACACTTGAAAGTGATAAACGATAAATAGTATCGTGACCTTTTACACGCTCAACGTGTCTGTAGTTGAAATTTTTAACGCGAAACATAGTTATTAAATTATTAGATACTATATTATTATATAAGATCATTGGTTAAGATAGCGTGAATTCATATGAATTCAGAAAGTACGTTCCTTGGTACGTGTTCATATTTATTTTGTTAATTTATTACATAGATCATAGGACACGATGTAACATATAATATTTGTTATTTAAATATCCTTGTCACGTTTAAAATAACTGCGATGAAAAACTGAAACGACATAATACTTAAGTTTTATACAATTATTCACGATTATATAATAATAAACATAAGTTTATTGCGATGTTAACGTAAAATAATGTATTTTAAATATATGCAACAGATTAGTAGTTTTCTAATTCGATAGTGTTGCGCAATTACCGATGTACAAACACACAAGGACATTCTAGAACTATGTTGGTTGCATTTTATAAAAAGATAATTCGACTAGTGCAATTTATATAAATTCTTAAAAAATTAATTCTCATGTATCGTCTATTTAACGTTTTTATTCCATAAGTTAATAAGTGCTAGACAGACCGAAATGGTGAGTCATATTTACAATAATGAAATGCGTTCTTGTGCTAAGTAAAATCAGTCGTTCCGCATCATTTTGTTCCGATGATGGACTCCACGCTAAATGAAATCGTAGACTTCTTTTCCAGGCAAGGACCATTCTTGTCTGCAGAAATATTATTGAGATTCGTCACGGCGGAAGTGAAATTGTTAAAATTCTTCTTCACCTTACGGGGCTCCGTTACATGTTCGAACCACGGAATTGCGGAATACGTGGTCGGAAAAGGCTGCAGTTTTTTCGGACTCTCGGATTCTTGTCGATATTCTTGATTATGCGATAATCCATTTAATAACGGAGCATCTGCGGTAACTGAAATAAAAAAAAAGAAAAAAACCATAAATGTATAGATTAAATTGTTTTTATTTAAAATACAATTAAATCGCGCCAATAATATATTTACAGATTTTTAGGGGATGAAACGTGAATAGATTACATATAGGAAAAGAGATAGAGATAGAGATGGAATATCTTCATTTCCTTGCAACAGAACGTTAAATATAATCCCTACAGTAACAAACCAATTTTGTGTACACCAACGACAGCTGACGCCACACGGGTGTTACTTTTTACGATTTCCTGCAAACCTCCACGAAAGAGTGTTTCGTGTACTAAATTACATGTCCTTGGTTAACAAACAGAACGTAAAGTCGAAGTAAAAGGACTTTGATATTATATTCGGAAATATTTTTCTTTATTCTAGATAGTTAAAGAGTTCTGATTCATCTGTAAATGTTTAGAGAAAAGTATTCTAAGCTATTCCGATTCTGTTTGCAAACATGCTCTTCTGGTTATTTGCTTGGTAATGGGAAGATAACTTCTTCTTCTAACGAGAGGCAGTTGCAGTACTTTGAGATCTTTTTCGTAGATTAGATTTTTTTTAACGGCTAACTTTAACTTATTATTAATCACTAACATGTTGTAGGTAAACCGTGGATCGTCTTCAGCCCGTAAAAGCCTTGCGTTACGCTGATGCTGGTCTGCGTGAAGTGCAACTGATGACGTTGAAAGTTCTTCGTTCTTCGGCAGAGAGGACCCTGGTCGGCCTTGAGCAGGTACGATGGACCAGAGGGGTCCATCGGCGCATGACAGACCGTCGAGACGCTCTCGCCGAAGTAATTCCCCTGAGCCTGTTGCTGCCTCCTGAGCGCAACCTGCGCTGCCATCACTCGTTGTCTCTCGACCACCAGCAAACAGCAAGGACAACGGCAGTCCTTCCACGCGCACGATCGCTTGTGACCCTTCAGACCGGAAATTACACCGTGGTTCCTGCATCTCGCGCACTTTGGACTCCTCAAACGTTGCTCCATGCTGGCACCAGTTTGACTCGAACTGCCATTCTCGGTCTTCATCTCGTTTCGTTCGATAAACAATAATTTTCATGAATGTTCACGATCCTTTATTCCACGTAACGTAATTTCAGTAAATTGTAAGAATTATCGTGGGGACAGATTGTGTGCAGCATATCGTGGCATAGCATTTCGTCTTTGTGCACGTTCCAATAGTCACTTCACCGATTTCATTAACATCGTAGCGAATACAATTGTCCAAGAAGAACTACGATCAACCACTCAGTCGCTAAATGTGCCTCGCACCCTTGAAATTGCCTCCTTAGGAGTTGCCCGCGAGACTACCCGACGAACCGGTCAGTATGCATTGTTGAATGAGTTATATGCTCGGAGTAATCTTTTTCCTCCAGCGAGGGAGGTGTCTCCTCATCTCCTCCTACCGATTCAAAATGTATTTTTAGAGGAAGAACACGTCGGGATTGGCTCGAAACCCCGCCACCCTCGCAGACTCGCAGCCAATCGAGGCCAGCCCGCGTTTCTGTGTTCTTGTTAACGTAGTGGTTTGTATCACCTCGAGGAAAAAGGCGAAGATCTTCGTTAAACGAGCGACTCCTTTGATTACCAGCCACCCCCGTGACGGGATCGTATCGATCTTCCGCGGGTATATCCCACAGCCGACACGTGTACGCACAGAGAATCGTTTTACGCGAAACGGAAAGATTTATCGGGCTCGATTCCACGCGGGCAACGAAGACACGCTCGCTTATGTCCGTTAAATATCCGTACAAGATGCGTCAATTTGTCGTACAAATTGTACGTTATTTCCCATGTTCTATCTCAGGAGATGATCTTTACAGCTGTTTCATTTATTTTATGGCCCGGAGTTAACTTATCAATTGACGCTCGATTTCTTCCCCAACGCTTGCTTCTTCCACCGTTACGTTAGGGATTTTATTAACCCTTTGCACTCCGAATTATATTCCAATTTTGTTACCAGAGGCTCCCAATGCTTTTAAGAGTTTTATTTTGAAATTTATCTGTTAAAATAAGTGTTTTATTTACACTGGTGTTGTATTTTGTAATTTTCAAGTGTATGATATCTGTTTGGTTTGGACTTGACAAGGAGCTCCTACTCGACATAGGAGTGCAAAGGGTTAAAGCTATACTTTGTTTTAGTTTTAGAAACGTTATAGAGTAGTTTGTAATGTTCTGATCCGGTGGATTCTCTTCCAACGACCGAGTTACTTATTTTTTAGGCGGTAATGTAAACCGTGGCGTTTCCTTTCCATTCGAGTATATAGATTTTTTACCCAAAACAAGGGTAGAACATAACGTTTAGGGGCACGGCACTTAAGAACCGGCCACCCGAAAGAACGCTCATACGTTAAGAAAACATACTCGAAACTAATATTAACTGTGCGTTGGCAACATCCGAGAGGATCGTATTAACGAGCTCTTAGAGCAAGATCACAGAAAGAATGCCATGTGGCCGCAGCTGGCGGTGTGTACCGTTGTTAGTCCAACGAAATCCTCTCTCTCCCTCTCTTCTATTTTTGCAGTACGCAATAGAACGAAAAGGGAGAAGAGATTGCACTGTCTTCCGTTTTCCGATACTTCTACACGGTATGTCATATTTTTAGTTGTAACCGAAAACGATCTCCGATTTCTTCGACCCTCGATGACATTATTCGGGCGGACTCTATAACAGACTTTGGTAAAATCACAAATTACATTTTAATCTCTAGCGCATAATTCGTCCTTGGTTGTGCAGTAATTGATCAGATTTGTGTACTTTTGTTGTCAATCAAGTGCACTGGCGAATGTCTATTGGCGAACGTTCAAAATATTCTGCAACTTTGAATTATTTTTACTCCGCACGAGGAATTTAAGTAATGATATTCTATTATTGTTTCTTTACAGTCGGCGTTTGGCGAAATAGATCAAGAGGAGCCGTGATCGATTGTGAAAAGGAAAGGATACGATTCGTACGAAAGATTCTTCTGATTCAATCTGTTGTTGCATTTTGTAACTTTCAAGTGTACGATATCTCTTTGGTTTGGACTTGAAAAAGCTCCTGAGATAAAAATTGATGTCGAATCACGCTCGACGTAGGAGTGCAAAGAGTTGATGATCCACGAAATTAGAATTCTTTGTTCGGAGCGTTTTTACGGGAGAGTCCGGAGAGAAAAGGGGGCCAATCTTAGCTATGGATATTCCGAGGTGCAACATAGCTCCGGTCACGCATCTTCAGCGGAACCGCGGCTGCCAGGCGGCGGAAAGATGTTGAATGACCTGTCAACATATTTGCTGCACTGACAACACCCCTCGAGAAGCAAAGCTGTCCGTGTCGATCGGGAAACGGGGAGAAGAAACGTCCGAGATGACACCCCTTCGTTCCACGCTCATTAGGGCGAATTCCTCGGTGGGTTTCACGCGTGCCTGCAGACCGATGTAAATTTAAACTTCACCGATCATTCCTTCTTTCGTCGTCTAGGAAAAAAATGTCCAAAGGATGCTGTCATCTCTTAAAAGAAGACCGTTTCGTAGCGGCAAAGGGCTGTCACCCTTGAAAAATGTATCGTTTTCGTTATAATTACTATATTACTTAACAGTAACGATATTTATTTTCAACTTGCAGATAATTCAGCCAGGACGAATAAAAATAAAACTACACGTTTAGCGATTAAAAGGCGTTTAATTATTTGCAAAAAGCTAGATACGTTTTCGAGTGAGAAATGATCGATGTCGAGTATCAGAAGTAGGCGACGTTCTCGACGATCCGACATTTGCAAATCGGTGCCACTTTGCATTTGTTCTTCGACCGAGGAAAAATCTATTCGCATTGCCCTGTGATCGTGGCATACCGAAAAAATTAATAAAATTTATTTTTACAGTCCCCGAGAAGCTTTCGCGTTAAAATTGAAATGCGAACCGGTGAAGAGAAACGGGGAGCCTAGAAGTTGCAACCATGTTATGTAACACGAAATTCAAACGATAAATCAAACGGTGCGAAATATCAGACGACGACGTATGTCGAAACTAACCCCCGAGAAATTTGTGACAATATCTTCACGGGGTGCTGTATAATGTAATGCAGTCTTCTTCGGTTAATAGATATTTTATCCGTCCAAGGTAATAATACAAAGAAAATAAATAAGTTGAGGGACATTTTTATTTTTAATCTTATAGTATCTGGTATTAATATTTTCGCGTTTCTGATGCAATTGTAAGGCTGGTGAACAACCAGTGATTAAATGCGCTGCGATGCCCCACTGTACAAGTAACTTTGCTTGGTACTTGGGAAAGTTTATCGCGGGCTTCACAGGGATGCTTTTCTTCTACGTGATTTTCTTAAAAGAGAAGTGAGTATTGTTAAACTTGGATCGATGCAAACCGAATGGATCGACGATAAAAATATTTATGCATATTATAGGGAGTACAGTTGCCTCTGTAACGCAAGAATGAGAGAATTCATACGTTCCGGCAGAGAAAAGTGGGTCACGTTGGTCATACGTGCGAGATGTTTCCAAAACGTTTCCCAAACAGTAACGAAAGAACGTAATTATTTTTCACCTGAACAAGTTTGGGAAACGTTGCTCAAAAGATCCGTTTTTGAATCATTTATTCATGGAAGAATAGTTTTCTTCGCGTTCTTCGTACGTTCAAAGACGGTCGTGACCAAGTCCTAAAGAATATCGCGTATCGTATGGCCAGCAAAATCATGCGCATGATATAATCAAAAAGTTCTAATATTTAGTACCAATTCCTGCTCCACAGACGACCAGACAGATGCGAATGCGAACACGGGTAAGTTATTTGTTATCTATTGTCAAATTTTTATAAGGACAGATTTATATTTAATAAATGCAAATTTTTTTTTTACAGAATGCAGACCAAGGTTTATGCTTGCGGCTGCAGAAAACGTGCGGGCATGTAAGTGCAGAGATTACAAACTATACGACTCCCTGAATATTGTCGATACATGTGAGAAACGTCAAGTACATAAAAATGATTTTTAGGGTACCGAAAGATAACGGAATGGATTCAGGAGAACGACCCAGTGAACATCTCGAAGACTGCACTTGCGCTGGGGCGAGGCCTTCCTCAAAATGACAATGGTAATTTCGACTTCTCCAGCGAATCGCTGTAAGTCTTACCATCATGGACAAGCCATATTGCACGACGGATCGGTGATTCCGTGGTTACTTTGATTGCAGATATATCGTCTACAAATTGTATGTACTGTGTAACATTGCTTAATCGGGAGAAAAAGGTAAATAATTATGAAAAACCTGTATCGAATGTATTCACATTAAAGTTACGAAATTAGGTTACAAAATCATCGACGAGCGTAAGAAGACAACGAACGGGTAGACACTGTCTTTACCGCCATTGCTGTGGGATCGTGTCTGCTGAAAAACTGATGAAAAGAAGAAGAAGCAAACAATCTTGCGCACGCCTACGCATTACCCATGATACCGTTTCCGATCGTTGGAAAATATGCAACCAAAATAGCTACGATGATAATATTAATACTGCTGACGTTACTAATAATGATAAGAAAATAGGGGAAGAAATCGTAATTAAACCAGAAGAAGTAAACATGTTGGAAAAGCATGAAGAAGATATCGTAAACGAATGTACTTGTGACGTGGTAGACGCAAATGTAAAATCTGCCGAAGTAGAAGTAAATTCAGAAGAAGAAATATGTTCAGAATTATGCGCCAACGAAGCAGATCCTAAACATAAAATATCAATTGATTATTCATGTATTTCGCTTGATTACAACGTGTCTCGATCGTCTCCCCTGTGCTCCAACACCAAATGCGAAGAAAGTAAATGTTATGATAAGAAATTTAACGAGGTTTCTCGGAGTAGTCTAGAGTCACAAATTGTTAAAGACGTCGACAATGAACAATATTCATCAAAACGTATTCGTCGGAAAGCATCCGAAACGCAAAGAAAAAATAGTTTATGTAAAATTACCGAGATACTTTCGGACGAGGAACTGATCGAGAATATTAATTCGGATGTATGTAAATGCCCTTCAAGAGGAATCATGAAACAATCGCAAAGTGACACCAGTTTCAGCGAAACGATTATTACACATAATTGCATAGATTCGATTTTGTATCGCGAATTGAGGAAAAAATGTGTATCCGCCGTTAAGAAGAAACTGTCGATAGATTGCATAAACGCTATTCGAAATATCGCGACAAAATCCCATCAAGAGTCTGACATTAATAATGATATCTTAAAAGATTTTTCAGACGACGCACGAGTCTGTACTGCAAAGCAAAAAGAAAAATACAATTCAAAATGTTTTGTGAACAAACATCGATCGAACTCAAGGTTGCAGAAAAGATGTATTCGTCGCGAGGTCGAAACGGGTTCCGCGCTTCCTGTTACTTGGCAAAAGAGTGCGATGAATTATAAAAAGAAGTTCGAATGTAAAAATTGCTCCCGCGACACAAAGTTAGTTTACGTCGTCCATAAAACGTCAATTTTTAATATTTAAATTTTTAACTCTTTTTAATTCTTCGCATCCTATCTGTTTAGGATTCGTAATCGTAACGGTCCGCAATGGAACGCCGCCAACAAAGAATTTCCGTTAAAATTTCATCCTTGTGCCGCGCAGGCGCAAAACAAAATGCTTCCCGGAAACTTCCAGTGGCAGAAGAACAATTATACGTTGGATAACGTAAAATTGAAGAAAAAAATCGATGCTCTGCTAGATCGTAAACTCATTTTGGCTCGCGAGACTTGCGGCGCGAAGTACAGACAACAGTTCCCGCAATGCAAAGAGAAACCAACTATGGTCCTATTCAGGAACAAAAGATCAAACGGACCAAGAGATCTAGAAAACTTTGAGAACTCTACGCTTTCAGGTTGCAGTTCTTCGACGACGTCCACGCAGTACACAAAGAGTTCGGTCCGTGACAGTAGAGTCGTTTGTCGGTGTCCACCGTACAAAACATCGCGGTTCGCGATGACTTTCAAAGATCGACACAAGCAAGGTAAATACAGAATTGATCGTTCGTCGTTGTTTTCGTCTTCGTCGAGCCTATCGTCGTCCAAACGATGCCATTCGTGGACAGCGCTGTCGCGGGACTCTGTCTATCATAAACAAGAACCGATCTCGTCTTCTTCGCGCGCTTCGACCTCGCTGTCAACCGATAAGGAGGGCTATGACTTTGGAAGATGCAACATCGATCAGACTATGAGTACGTTTACATGATCTTTAACTGCGACGCGATAATACTAATGTTTCAATTAGACTGATTAGAACGATCTTGATTAGAGACACTCTTAATATAACCTATTTTATAAGTCCTGTTTATTTTGTTGATTAAGTTATACAAATTTGATAAAGAAACAGGTATCATCAGGGATTTGAGAAAGAATCAAAGACTGTGGGCGAGGCCAAGATTTCGTGAACAAGAGAGAAAGAAGACCATATACATGGACGAGCATCACGTTACGTGGGACATGAAGCACGCGTACTAGGAAACAGCTGGAACGATCGAAGGAAGAAAAGGATGAGTAGTTTCGTAAACGATGTACATATTGCGAAACGCTACACGTTTAAATATCTAATACAGGGATGGGGAATTTATTTTTTAACTCTACGCCAGCGCGCTAGTTCCCCCACCATCAGATATTCGGCACCCTCTAAGTGGTCATCTACCACTACCACTCAATGTATGTATAGAATGATTCTCTGGCTAGGCAGTTTAAAATGATTTCTTTTTTTTTCGTTGCATTTAGATGAATTTTAGCAAAGTTAGGGCATTTTAAGGATTTTCGGGGCAATAACCCACTGCGCGCCGCGCTATCGCTCAACAAAATGGACGGAGCGGGACAAATTCGAACGTTCGTTATGCAACAGTCGCATCTCCAACGATTCTTTCGGCTGACTGAACACGAAAAGTCCAGACGCGAATGCTCGAACCGCAAATTCATCGCGTTAACGATGAACGAGTAAGCAACAAACAGTAACGAGTACAACGCGTAATTGGCAGGTACCGAGTTAGCACTGAAACTCCGTGAATAAATTGGACGCGTCGTTGGCGCGGGAGTGACGCGTCCCGTTGGACGCGCTTGGAAAATCTGAAACTCGATTAATACGCGTCGTGTCCGTAGGTGAAGAGTCTATAAGTAGAATCTTCAGCGGACACGAACGTCAGTCATATTCATATATTATATTCCGACCTGGTAGACGGAACCTTGCTTTACGCTAACGAGATATCCGCGACGGTTAACACTATGCATACATCACGCGATGCCACGGTATACATCTTCGCCCCAAAAATTTCAGTTACAATTTTGCCGACGAAAGAGAAACCACCGATTTTCCCTTCTTCGATCCGTTGTATACATCTCCGAAAAACTTCTGAACGAAGAAACTTTTAGCTTGATAGACGATGTTTTCTGTTTGATAACGGTGTATTTTCTTAATGTATTGTTTTACTTTGTCTTCTCTTTTCTTTTTTGCAGAATTTTTTAAAGAACCAATAAAGTATTTATTAATTTCATTTCACTTAAAAATCGGCTCACCTTTTGAGATTTTAATTTAATTAAGTCGAGGAATGAGATTTACAAGGAAACTGAGAATCCTCTCGTTTTGAATTGATATCTCGAGAAAAACGGTTGGCGCCTTCGGTATCCGTGTTTGTAAAGTCTTTTTCCCTAAAGTTCTCTCGTCTTAATCTACTTGAGAATCTCTGTGAATGGCAGGCTTTGTAAAGGAAACGTCGCAGCTGCGTCCCTCGCGCCGCCTCGTATTTTGCACGCATTCCGATGAAATAAAACAAGACTAGCAAGGGTGCTGACTTGAACCGAGAAGAAATATTTCGAAACGGGATGTTAAATGAGCGAACTGTCCAACTGTCACTCCGCCTAGTACCCAGTTTCTTAGCACGTAACGAAAATATGAGCCAAAATGAATCTATGTATTTTCGGTGTCTATGTTACAAATAGACTTAGCGTAACACTTACACGGCAACTTTCCTTTGGAAACGAGTCGATTCCAAAATTATACGTTCATTGTTATTCATCCCTGTTGACGCCAACGAATAAATTGGCCCACAGTTTGATTCATAAAATTATTTATAAATAAATTCGTACACAAATATAGTATACTATGTAACATATTGTGTACATAATAAATTCACTTGGAATAATTATCTCCGATATACAGTGAATCGTTTACTCGATAAAGGAAGAAATATCTTGAATTTATTTTACAAATTAATAAGATATTCTTCGTTCGAAATAAGTTGATTCTGCCCGAAACATTTACCGATCCATTCGCTTTTAACAATTATTATCGGTATTTGTAGTTCGTCGATTAGACTTTTGAGTTTGGAACTCGTGGAATTTCTATCAATGAACACGTGTGTTACAAAATTGTCGATAGTGTCCTTAATTATCCCTGCCATAAAACTAAATTCAAACTTGGACTGATCCGACTGATTATCAAAATATCCCACCATGCCCCGAAATATAGAATATGGTGATATTCCGTTGTCAAATAATTCTTTATCCATTTCTTTCATTTGTAGATGATCCAACCCGATGGCATTTAACTGAAATTAATTTTATGCAAAATTTTTAATTAGAAATTACATTTTTCAATATGTGTAATGGATAACACGTACTACCGTTTCTTCAACTTTTTTGAACGAACGTGCCAAACTCTCTTCGTCCGCATCCACCGTAAAATTGTCGTAATATTCATCGTAATATTGTGCTAGTCGACGTTCTGTTGATTCACGACTGCATATCAAGTCCCATGGTAGAAAATCTTGTAACGACGACCAATTTTCTTCTTTGGTAACTCGTTTGAACCAATCCAACGATACTACGTCGTACTCTTTACTTTCTACAATATTCTTTGCTCTTGCCTAGAAAATTTAGTTACATGTATAGATTACTCAAGGTTCGTTGGTAACGTGATGTAAGAACATAGTTTATATTTGTACCGGTTTAACGTTACCAACGATCACACAATAGTTTTCTTTCAATGGATTTTTAACCACTTTCGCTCTATGTTGCAAAAGAATTTCTTCAATGTCTGTTTTGGACAACTCATTGTCTCCATTTATCACACATATTTCTTTACCGTCAAAAAGTCGTGTGAGATAAATCGGCGAATCGTTAAGAATATTAGATTTCGATGACTTCTCTTCAAACAATGACGAGCATTGTTTCGTCCTACGTACTTTGCTTTTGGGAGCTTCAGTATCATTGCAATCTACATCTCGCTTTGTTAGTTTTTGAATCGGCCTCGAATCCTGTATAACAATAAAATACGCTATTTACACGTATGAAGATTATAATATATAGGAAGTGATTGAAATTTATTCATTTAATTGCACACACTTTAATTAGCGATAACAGTTCCGTTGTGGTGCAAACGCTATACCATGGTTTATCAGTTCTAACATCCATCACTCTTGGGAATCGTAAGCTATAGCCTGTTGGATAATCCTTACTTTGTGTCATCTCTGTTGCTCGTATTGTCAAAATAATAGATTCTTCAGGACGAATCCACTTGTTCGGTGGATCTAGCTAAAAGATATTAATAACATTATACAATAGGATATTCGATATTTTATCCTCATCCTATATGTATATTTTACAAATACTTACCCTAGGAGGAGACACATTTTCAGGACATTCGTTCTGCCATTTACCTTCGAATCTTTTCCAAAGTTCTTTCAACGTTTCCATAGATAAGCCATTGCTGACTGATACAACGGATAAAAATTTTGAGGGATTCTCTCCTGGAACATTTGACGGGGAAGCTACCGCCATCAGAAAACTTTTCATTAAACCCATAAATTTTCCTCCGCCATAATAACCGCCGAGAATAATCAGATCTACATCTTGCACTAGATCATCCGAATACTGCAATGTTATTGTTCGAATAAAATAAAAGTTGATAATATAAATAAATACTTTTAAAAAGAGAGTATTACCTCAGCTTTTATTTTATAACAATTACTGCCATCTCGTACGTTGGGTTTATATTTCATGTCATATTTTTTTAGTACAATTCCTTCTTCCTTATTTTGTATACTTTCATTGAATACTCTGCATAATTCTTCCCTCTGAGAAATTTTAATGGACTTGCACAACATTAAACAGCCCTCTTCTTCTTTAAATGCATCTTCTAATATTTTTAGTCTTTTTTCGTAAAGTTCATTAATAAGTAAAACATCATTATATAGAATAATATCTAATGCGATAAAACATGGCTGATGGTGACTATTTTCTGAAAGCTTTTTAACGTCAAAATTCATCCCTTTTGAACCCAATAGTTTCTTCTGCTTGTGCCAACCCATTAATTCACCATCCAAAATTATTGATTTACATTGTGGTTTCAAAAGTCTATGAAATACGCTGCTCATAAAACCTGAAGTAAAATTTTTTTGTAATAGAAACATGAGTTTAAGTTTATTTACAGTATATTTAAACTATACCTGATGAACTAGTTTCCCCATAACCGTAGTTCTTTGTAATATCGTATCCTTGTCTTGTAAAGTATTTATATTTCCCATCTTTCATATGCATCTGAGATCGTTCACCATCATATTTCGTTTGTACAAAATACTGTTCACATTTACTGAAAAGTGTCTTTGTATCTTCAATCCTACATCTTTCTAACAACATGGGTTTAAAATGAGAGAAAATTTGAATATCATGGTGGTATCTCAACTGGGGATCGGATAATGTTTCGCAGATCTGACGTAAATCTGTTGACACATCAGACAGTGCATTTGCATCTGGATGAAAAACTGAAAAATAAAATTGTTATTGTTTTCCATGCATTCAAAGTAATAGATCAACGTTGATGTAAAGAAGAAACCTTGTAATATCCTCTTCATTCCGATACCGAGTTTCAAATCTTTAAGTATTATTCGCGTTATCCATTTAAACTCCAATGCATTTGTCTTCCCCAACAAAACTTTAAACGTTTCATCCTTTTGCCGAATATTGTCGTTTTTCGATGATATATTGTCAAGGAATAAATTGATTCGTTCTATCGTGAAACCAGAACTCTCGCGTGGTAACCGATTTCGTAGAATCCAATAAGCTTTCTCCGCAAAGTCGGATCCTGTACTCTTTTTTGTTGTTGGAGTTCTAAAACAATATTATCGTTATTTTAACATAGACAATGATAATACAATATTAATGCTAAGTAGAAAAAAATATCCAATAATAATCTCACTTGTATTGTACAAGATTATTTGCATCCTTGCTACCTTTACCCAAACAAAATACGCGAACATAAAGATTAGCAAGGGATTTTTCTTTTAAATTGTGCGCTCCACGTTCTCGTTCACGGCTCGGTAAAAGTAATCTCATTATAGAGAATAGTGAAACATCCTAATGATATAAATTCTTAATTATTATGGGTGGTAAATTATTTATTTTGAGAAATCGAATTATTCGTTGTTAACAAAATTTAATTAATGAGTATATAACTATACCGCATCTGGACATTCCGTTTTATGTTTGAGGCCAGCAAGACGACACTGCTGGATGAACTTCTCCAAAATCTCGGTTCTCTTAGCAACACGTGCTTTCTTGATTTCTTCCAAGACATTACATAATTTCACAAATTCGATTTTGGCAGCTAATGTCACGCTCATTTCACTCGCCTATCTACAGAACATGTAATAATTATTAATCGTTCAACGACATTGTTCATGATAACAAATATAAATTAGATGTAACATTTAAGACTAGAAGGTTCAGTCATAAAAATGCTCCAATTTATATACAAATATTCACAAGTTTATTTACAAAATTATGATTTATCTTACATTTGAAATCGGTAAATTAACATTCTTAATCTAAACCGTAATGTACTTTTCAAGGTACATTCTTGCCAACAAGAAATTTTCTGAATCTAAGTAAATAAGATGCAAATTAAAAGCAGCTTCTTGTTTCAAATCTAAAAGATGCGAGTTCTCTTTTACTATTTCTCCAGGATCTTCGTTAAGCACTAATTTGTAAAAATGTACAGCTGCTGGTAATAATCCAATTTGATGGAACGCACGGCCCATATTGTAATACGTTTCCTGTTTACCATCTTCGCCCCGTAATTGACAATATTTCTTCAAAAAAGCAATAGCTAAAACAAAATAAGATACAAGATATAGAAAATATTCGGAATATCTTAAACAATTATTCGGAAAAATATTACCTATTTTTGATTCGAAAAAAAATATCCTTTAAATAAAGTAACATATATCGTATATACGTAATTACCTTGAATTACAAGTTGATTTTTGTTAACAGAAAATTTTTGGCACGCCATTTGTAATAATGTTATACCGATAAGTAATGCCAATAATGCATTAGGTGCGACTTTAAAAAGAGAGATATAATCGTTGAGGGCATATTTATATGTTCCCGAAACAAGGCAGTTATTTGCATGCAATATATTTAAGTGAGAAAATACATCTTCTCTTCCAAGAAGACGCATAATGAACCTATTGTGTCTACAATCTTGAGCGTCTTGTATAATAATGTTTAACAAATTCCAAGTGTTTGGCCTGTGACAGACGCGTATCAATTGCCGCACAATGTTATAACCATGATAGGAATCGTTATTATAAATACAGGACAGCAAGCATAAAAACATAATCTGAGTGTTTCTCTTTTCAAATCTCTTTGATGTTAAAGCACTCAAACATATTCTCTGCAGTAAACCATATCTCTTTAGTTTGCAAGCTAATTTACACATTTCCACGAGCAAGAAGTATTCGTTCTTTTCGCTTAATTCCGTGGTATTGAGAAAGATTGGCGCATTTTCTTCCTCAAATTTCTCTCCGCGCGACAGTCTATGAAGTTTCAATGAGTCTATTCGCTGTCGTGTTCCGTATGCTCTAGTCAATGCATTTAGCTCGACTTTGCTTCTTAAATGAACACAGTGTCTGGAGAAGAGTAACATACCAGATCGAAAATACTCATCGTATCTCTTCACTTTAAAAAGAAGCAACGTTCTTCGGTAAACCACTTCAGGATCTAAAGTATCCGATTCGGGATCTTGATCAAGAACTTCTATCGCTTTGTTGTACTGACCCTTTAGTTGATAAAGTTTGGCCAGAGCTGTTCTTGCGCCTAAATGCTGAAATGATAATTTCGTAACAACTTCGTAAGATTTTATTGCTTTTCTTAAATCTTTACAGCCAACCCAACATTCCGCGTGCCGTAACCACACTGCAGCCAAACTATAATTATTACTATTTACTAATGGATCTAATAACGCTAAAGCATGTTCGAATTCTTTCTTTCCCATCAGAGTTTCCGCAATATCTAAGAAAAGATCTCCAGAAATTTCTGGATTTTCGTTCAAATAAAATTTAGGGAGAAGATTTTCAGCCAGTCTCATTTGATCTAACTCAATAAGAGTTATAAGAAATTTTGCTTTTAAATCGACAACAACATCGTCCGGTATTCCACAGGCTTCTATTTCGCCTAAATCCTTATCTTCTGATTCTTCTTTCTGTATATCATTGGCATTTTTATATTTGACCCAGATTGTCGTATATTTCGTTAAAATATTTAAACATCTTTTGAATCTTTTCAGTGCTATTAATATTTCAGTCATGATATTAACTTCTTCCAAAGTAATGAAAGAGGGACACTTTGAAAAAATATTTTCCATCGCATCTAATGCTTGTTCATTGTTATTCTCCTCCATGTATCGTTTAGCCAACATCTTGGCATATTTAATTATGTTATTACCATCTTCAGGTTCCAACTGATGAACCAACTTTGAAAATCCTCTTAAATAAGCTTTCTTATCTCCGTTTCGTTCTAGAAGTCGTGCTCGCGTTTCGTATAAGTTTATATCTTTTGGGTTTGCTTGAATTGCTTTATTATAACATGTAATAGCTTGTTTAATGTCTCCTTTCTCCAATGACATATTCGCCAATCGTGTCCATTGATCGGAATCTCTAGGACTGAGATGCGCTGCTATTAAAGCAAACTGTAACGATTTTTCTGGTTGATCTGTCTCATATATCATTGCCAATGTGTGAAATGGTTCTGGAGCGCTCGGTACTTGTCTAAAGAAAAGTCACAATATTTGTATAATTTTATTTTATCCAGACTGTTGACAATTCTTTCTTTTGTAAGTCTTACAATCTACAAACACTGCTGTGTACATCTTAATTTTGGAAAAGCCACTTGCCTAATTATTTCCATACATATTTGAGCAGCCAATTCTGTATCTCCTCTGGCAAATCTCAAATTTGCTTCACCCATGAGACCTTGCAGAACCGGAGGAAGTGTCCTTTTTTTTCGTTTATTTCGTCTTGGTGCTTTACGATAAACAGATATGTTTGTTTCTATTTCTTCGTTCTCATTATCATTTCTAAAAATAGAAGAATATGTTGCCAGGTGTTTCGCATTACGTATAAGAATTATTTACTGGTGTACTACCTAGTAGGGTAGTCAGTTTCTAAAGTCTCTACGTCTACACCTTGATCCATTTGCAAAGAATATTCGGAGAATGTTAATTCACCGTTTAAGAACTGTTTTGTTAATTTGTCTTCTTCGTCTGCAGTTAATAATATATCCTGATCTTCTACGCCTATAGTAACATCCATGACAGAACTATTTTGTTCAGAATATGTTTCTGGTATAATATCTTGTGTTATATCTTTGATCTCTAAAGCATTTGCTTCAACAAATTCTGCCATATCTACGTTCATGTTACTAAGAGCACTTTCATCCAGCTCTTCTATGATCACTGATGCTATTGTGCTGGTTTCATCGAGTGCCATATTGTCTTTGCAAGTTGACGATGATAAATTAATTTCAATCAGTGTCTCTTCATCCATACTAGATGCCATTATGAAATTATTCACTTTCTGCACATAATATGAATCTCATTAAATAATATATTTAAAATAATTGTGTTCAACTAAAAATAATCTCGTGGATACAAGTGTTTCAAATATTGTAATGCAAATATTCATGCAATACAAATAAAATATCAACAAGGGGAAAGAAAAAGTATCAGAAGACAAGTTTGGAGGGTAGTTTTACCCCCTAAACTTGGTTTATTACTGCTAAGAAAAAATAACACGTGTATTTTATTTTTGGCCATTCTATAAACCTGTAAAGTCTCATCAAAACCTAAAAATCACGTAATAGATGTTTCTTATAAGTTCCGCGGTAATTAAACACTTTTGACAATCAACTGTCGCGTGCATATAAAAATCAAACAGCATATGCATTACATGTGCTTCCGAACTTCGTATTACAAATTGTAATATAACTAATATTTCACATAAACAATCTGTATACGTTAAAATCTATGTACTCACGTTATAACATATGTATTTATGAATATAAATTTATACCTATAAGAGGTTAAGTTATTGCATAAATTATTTACCTTCGTTCAGTTTCGTATGAAGTAATTTACATGAAATTTCTTCGGTGAACAAACAATACTTTTTACAAAATAGTATTTCTCGTATACGTAAAACACAATTTACGTATTATTTAATTCTTTTGGCGACGAACAAGCAATAAGAATACAATTTCTGTTACTAACATCAGCACTGTGCAATGTGAAATTCTGTAAACAGTACGATAATACAGTGCATTATGATTTGTTTGTTCATTGTTCGTAGGTGCAATTTATTCGCAATAAAATACATCGATTATACTACAAAGAAGTAAGGAACGTGGAAATATTAAACAAACATGCATGTTTCGAACACTTCGATTTTTCAATCGAAGCAAATCTTTATTTTGGAAACGTTGAGGTTATGACATCAAAACAAAATTTTGACAATAAAAAGACGCCTATAGGCCGTTTTTGAATATCTTAAAAATTAACCAAATAAACATATATTACATTAGTTTCTATATTATCCAGACCATCAAAAGAAGCATGATCGAGAAAAACACTGTTTAATAAATTATGTATTTCTACTACATGTAAGTTTAACAAACTACAACTACAAAATGCAATACAATTACATTTACATAATCGAAATTAACTATAAACTAGTTTTTATCATTAATAATCAATAACAACATTGAAAGAATGTAAAAGTTAATAAATGATTCTTTGGTAATACAACTTCTTGTTTATGTTTTTCAGCTGATATTAATAGCATGAAGCCACATACATGCTGGCTATATGTCTCTTTATTGTTAGTGCTTGGTATTGGGATTAAATTGTCACGCAATCAAGTAAATTGTTCAGTCGATAGCAACAAGTTTATAAACTTTGAATCTTCCAAAACTACCAAATTATCGTGTCATGGCAATGGTCCGGAACAAGTAAAAGTTCACTTTGCCAGCAGAATCATTGAGAACGAATATATTGTTGCATTCAAGGGTTATTATAAACCGTGCACACGTGAAAATTATATAAGGGCTGCATTGAATTCATCTGGCATTCGTAACTGGAAGATTTTATTTCGTGATAATCTGGCCAGCAATTTTCCTAGCGACTTTGACGTTGTTCTGTTGGAAGAAACGGATAAACATAATGGCCTGGATGCTTTAACCGACCATCCTCTTATCAGGAGAGTAACCCCTCAAAGACTTGTACAGAGGAGTCTGAAATTTGTCAATGCATCGGAAGATGCTGATTTTCCAGAATATAAAAATTTTAAAAGAAAAATTAACAACTATGTGAGTTCCTACGTTCTTGAAAATAAAGTAGATATTCATTGTAAGAGTCATGAATCATGCTGAAAGATAATACAAATTTTAGAACAACCAATTTTGGCAGTCGACCAATCGTCATACATCCCGTAGATTATTAAGAGCCATACCAAGGCAAATAACAAGCATACTTCAAGCAGATGCTTTGTGGGGAATGGGTGTTACTGGAAATGGTGTTAAGGTAAATAATATAGGTTTTAGACAGTTTTGTCAAGAAAAAGTCAAGATGTATTTGTTGTATGCATAATGATTATTGTTAGGTAGCAATATTTGATACCGGGCTAGCAGCTAGTCACCCACATTTTAAAAAAATTAAAGAACGTTCGAATTGGACAAACGAAAAGACATTAGAAGACGGATTGGGTCATGGAACGTTTGTAGCTGGAGTTATTGCATCATCTTGTATAGATTGTCTTGGTTTTGCACCAGATGCTGAACTTCATATTTTTCGTGTTTTCACTAATACTCAGGTATCTTTATTATCGTATTTTCTACTTGAACCCAAAACTTTTAAAAGTCTTTTTGTAGGTATCGTACACTTCATGGTTCTTAGATGCATTCAATTATGCTATTCTTACAAAAGTTACAGTACTAAATCTTAGTATTGGAGGGCCGGATTTTATGGATCATCCATTCGTTGATAAAGTATGGGAACTAACGGCGAACGGTGTGATTATGATCTCCGCAATTGGTAACGACGGACCTTTGTATGGGTACGGAATTAAAAATTTATTCTGATTCATTTCAAAATTAAAAATTGTGCTTCATAAATGAACTTAATTTTATTTAATATAGTACTTTAAATAACCCTGCGGATCAAATGGATGTCATTGGAGTAGGTGGAATTAATTGGGAGGATCAAATAGCAAAATTTTCATCGAGAGGTATGACAACATGGGAGTTGCCATCTGGATATGGGAGAGTGAAACCCGATTTGGTTACCTATGGATCAGGTGTACGAGGATCAGCATTGCAAACAGGTTGCAGAACATTGTCTGGAACTTCTGTTGCTAGTCCTGTTGTTGCTGGAGCTGTAGCACTTTTAGCCAGCGGCTTTATACAAACAGATGGATCTCAAACAGTTAAACAACGAGTAATTATGACTGAAATATTTATAATTACATTTAAATCATATTATCAAATGTAAATTTAATTTAGAAGTTGTGTATAATATAAGGTAACTCCAGCAAGCATGAAACAAGCGTTACTTGGTTCGGCGCGTCGCTTACCCGGAGTTGGAATGTTTGAACAAGGGGCGGGAAAATTAGACTTGTTACGAGCATTTCATTTTCTTCGTTCATATACACCGATTGCTACACTGAGTCCGAGGTAATTACTTGTTCGCATTATATCATAAAATATTCGACTGTGTATTAATTTTATACTGTTTACAACGATGCATAATATGTGGTATACTATCAGCTATATAGACCTAACTGAATGCCAGTATATGTGGCCATACTGTACACAAGCTGTGTATCATACTGGTATGCCTACAATTGTAAATATAACTATAATAAATGGTTTGGGAGTATCTGGACATGTAGCGAATCTTTTATGGCATCCTTATACCGGTAATGGAAATGGTGAACGAATCGATGTATCGGTAACTCATAGCGATGTTCTCTGGCCATGGTCTGGATGGTTGGCAGTTGCAATAACAGTTCCGTCCTCTGCTCGTGACTGGCAAGGCATAGCACAAGGTTACAAATATATTATATATTACATATCGCATATCGTACAAATTTCTGCTGTAAAAACCTCTGTTCGTAAAGTGTAACTTTGTACATAGGATATATAGCTGTTACAATTGAATCACCACCAAGCGATGGAGAAGAAAAACCAAGACAATCTAAAATCGAACTACCGTTAAAGGCAAAGGTTATTCCCACGCCGCCCCGTCAGTAAGTATAAAAAATAAAAGATTTTCTTAATGTCACTACGAAAATTAACGATACAATTATAACTAATGATGTTTGTTTAATAGCAAACGCATTCTATGGGATCAGTATCATAATTTACGCTATCCTCCGGGATATTTCCCTAGAGATGATTTACGTGCAAAAAATGATCCCCTCGATTGGAACGGAGACCATATCCACACTAACTTCAAAGATATGTATCAGCATTTACGTAATGCTGGTTATTATTTAGAAGTACTCGGTTCGCCGTTCACCTGTTTCAATGCCAGAAACTATGGTACTCTGCTTATTGTGGACACGGAAGAGGAATATTTTCCCGAAGAGGTAATATAACTTTTATTACACTGGTCACGGAATAATAACGGTAACTTTATCTCAGGTCGCTAAATTAAAACGAGACGTAGAAGAGGAAGGTCTCTCTGTAATTGTATTTGCAGATTGGTATAATGTTACTGTTATGAGGAAAGTAAAGTTTTATGATGAAAATACTCGACAGTGGTGGATTCCAGACACAGGGGGAGCAAACATACCAGCCTTAAACGATCTTCTGTATCCTAACTGGGGGATAGCGTTTGGAGATCAAGTACGAAATGGCCAATTTACTCTTGGTCAGCATCCACCTGTAACTTTTGCTTCTGGTACCACGATCACGCGGTATGATGACGTTATTAAAAACAAAATCGTTTTAATTATTTATAAAAAAAAAAAAAACACACTACACTATGAGTTTTCAGAACTAACAGATAGTTTCTTATGTGAGAAATATATATTTTTCTATTAATGAAGGTTCCCGAAAGATGGAATTATTCTTTATGTGGAATTATATGATCAAGGACAAGAGCTTTTACTCGAATCTGAATCGAGATCTACAATGTCTATGCCAATTCTGGGACTTTTTCAAACAAGTGGCTATAAGAGTATTAAAAAAATGTATAACGATAATCTCGACAACAATGCAGTAACGGATAAAGAAAACTTGGAAAAACATAATCTTAAAGATCAAATAAATATTGCACCAGGCAGAATTGTAGTATATGGGGATTCGAACTGCATCGACGATAGCCATTTACAAAAACGTACGCTTTAAAATTAATACCAATTTACTGAATATACAATTTATTAACATTATACTAATTTTAGCTTGTTTTTGGATGCTCGATGCTATACTGGAGTACACGACAACAGGTCATGTTGCAACCGTATTTACGGACGAGAGTCAGACTAAAGCAAAAGTTCTCGAGAAGCTTCATATTTTAGATAATAGTGAATTACCACAACGTATGGAAGGTAGTCATTTAAGGCGTCATAGTAAAGTATTATTACCTGAAAATACCAATACTGGCCACATTCGACCACTTCCATCTTGCCCTACTATTACTCTTGCTATTCCAAGACCTTTGAATGAATCTGTCCCAATGTAAGTAGCTGTAAATTTCAATAAATTTTTTATTTAATTTATTAGTTAATAACCATAAATTTAATCGTGTTTCAGAAATCTTTACAAACCTCAAAAGTTGCTATCCGTAAGAGATACAATAGTCGCGGTAAATCCAGCTTTACAGGATGCCAGTCCTCTGTGGCTTAGAAGGCGAGTCGGCGGTGCAAACATTCCTACGCTACATCACGCAGAGCAGAATAATATTGATGAGTTAGATCAAACCGACGAAAATAATAGTGAAATATTTACAAGTAAGTGGAGTTACGTGGCGGGAATCATTATTGTAGGAGTTATTGTCCTCTATTTATTAAATCAATGGAATTGCTTAATATCAAAAAGGCATTCTCGAAGAAAAAGAACAGTCGGTAGATTACGCAGAGTTATTCAAACAATTTCTGTGCGCAAAGTGCCTCAAATGTGACTTTACATCTGACAAACCTTTAACCAATGCAAGATAATATTTAATTATCTGTGGTAAACGCTTACAAAATAACAAACTATATTACGTGCCTTTAAACTTACAGTACTCAACATACGTTTAAAATTTATATAAATTATTTTGATAAATTTTGTGTGTCACTAATTCATTCTATACATGTGCATATTTCTGTTGATATACATAAGCAAAAATGCAAAATCGCTATATTATTTCTTCATTTGATCGCGTAAATAAAATTGAATCAAAATATAGGTTCATTATGAAATAAATACGAAAGAATGTGAATGAAGTATGAGGAAAATAAATATAAATTTGCACTTCCAACAGATTGTAATGATATAGTTTTGAATTTATCATTAATAGCAGTTTATATGTTTGTACATGTATTTTACCAAACACGTTAATTTTTCAATTTACAAAATATATATTTGCTTGTAATGCACAAGCATATACGAGAGGATTACTATATTATATTAATATTAATGGAGGAATATATAAGTTTTTTCCACTGTTATTAACTTGTGATATATAATAATTATTGTTTTAATTATGCATAAGTGTAATCATATTATTCAGTTTTTTTTGTTACAAAAATTTATTTGAATAAGCAGGAATACAATACTTTTAATTTAGAAGTAATTTCTATTGAGTAAGATAGATTACCTGATTTATAACAATCAAAGAAATGATAAAAACAATAAGACTATACCATTTTATGTATAAAATTATTTATTTAGAGAGATGAACAAATTTTATTATTTGCAGTATGTTTTAATTATTTCTGTACATAATGCCGTTAAAGTGTAAAACATTAATTGTATGTTTTTTAAATTTTTTACATCGAAATTAATAACATTTCAGTTGTAAAATGGATTGTATGTAATCCAGTGTGCCCTATCCTGTTCCGCCGCAGATTTATGGGTAGTAAAAATACTTTTAAAGACTTCGGATGCTTTGGGATCTTTAGCAACGCTGTAGTTCTCTTTAACTTTCTTGTATGCTGGATCTTCGGCTTCGCTTCTATTACTATTACTTTTGAAAGTAGCAGTTTTTTCCTCCTTTTTAATTTTCTTCTTTGGTGCCTCATCTTGTTTAACATCTTCTTTAACATCTTGTGTTTGTATATCTTCGCTATGTTTATGTTTCTTTGATTTTTTCTGAGCAACCTTGCGAATTGGCATATTTTCTTCCATTTTCTTAAGATCATCACCCTCTGCATTTATAATAATAATATCTGTCTCTGTAAAGGATTGTTGACATTGATGACACATCTAGAAAACATTGCAAAAATAGAGATCATTAAACTCTTTCGCTCGTGTATACATTTTTATTCTAATCTATTCATACTTTTATATTTCTATACATGTACTTACTGTACTTTTTATTACTTTAAGCGCACGTTCGCTCATCACACAACCACATGACCACAAAAAGCAAAATTTATATTTGCCATTCATCTCTAATCCAATAATCGGGCAAATGTATGGGCTTTTGCCTCCATCTGCATAACAGTCTCCTTTTTCTGCTTTATTACCGTCAAATGCTGGGTTTGTTGTTAAATTTAGATTTTTTACATCTTTCAAGCTCTTGATATGTTGTGCTGATTCCGGGAGCGTACTTCGATCAAGAAGACCTTCCAGTACAGATTCTTTGCTATACAGACGACCCAAAGCGCAACCAACTACTGGTGGCTGTAGTGGTAATTGTTTTATTGTGCAATGTCTCCATTTAAATGCTAGCTCTGCCTCCTTATCTTTCTATACAAATAATTACATTAAAATATAAATTGGCTGTAAATTTAATTACATTTTATTAGTGTATAACTTAATAAAGTATGTGACAATTGAATTTGTTTTTCTCATAAACAAAGTACATGTATAAAACTTAGATAGTGTAGTATTATAAAAAAATGTTACTGTTTGTATGCAAAGTCATACTCAAAAATATGGCTATAAAATTACCTGTTCTGGTTTCTTTTTAACTCTAACAAGCTCATCTCTACGAGGAATAGTCCCGCCATCACAACCCATAACGTATATGTATCGATATCTAAACTTTAAACCAAAATTGAGAAACAATTATGCCTTGTAGGACTCTAACAAGATTTATGTCAAATGCTGTTATGAATTATAGCACAGGTTCTCAACTAGTCGTCAACGACCCTCGATGAGAATCGATTTATGTGGGCGTTGATAAATTACTAGACTATTCGTTTAAAGATTACTGAACAAAACAATTATTTTCACTTTATATAAAATTATCAATCCATATTGTATTACTTGTTGCCAATTGTACACATTTATATTTTGCATCAATGTAGAAAAGGATCGGTGAATGAAATCTAATTTTGTTAAAGGTCAATAAGATTGAAAGATTGGGAACCAATGAGTTATAATATCCAAGTAAACGAGTATCAATGTTACCAACTTTCCGTTTGTACTAGAAACGTTTCTGCACGAGCATAATTTTGTTAAACATCGAATAAATATATGCGTCGTTGTTACGATAAAAGTTTTCAGTATAAAAAGAACGAATTATTAGTAAAAACAGAAATTTGTAACTCGTTTAACGTGTCTGTCGAAAATTGAGAACGAAAGTTTTCAAGTATTGGCAATAGTACCGATCGTTGCAGACGGTCCCGTGTTAGCTGATGATGCTGGCTTTCAGTTTATGTTTTAGTTGCCGGGCGGGTCGTAAGGCAGCAGCACACAATTGTCATCACGTGAGGTCACAATGGTTTCTGATGGTTTCGATGACGAGTGATTAGAAACAGCGAATGTTTTAAATTTCCCGAGAAATTCAAGCATTTGTCGTGTTTTATAAAAGAGGCGCGATACAAAACACCTGGTAAGTGGAAATCATTCGTTTATTATACAAAACGTACAGACACGTACAAAATTTGTTGTCAAGTGGAAAAGGACCAATAAATCGTATTTTATAATTAAAAGATGTTGAAAGTTCCTGTCAAAGTTTCTTAATACTTATGTTTTTAAACGTTTGCGACGACAACTCGTGGCATTGGTTAACTATTGGGTTTCCATATAATTCCGAACTTAATATGTGACGCATTTTAAGGAACTATTGTATTATCGATTTTTCCAATGGTTTATTAGTGGGCGCCATTAAGTCGTTTCGGCAATAAGCCTGACTCCGTGATAATTTTCTCGCATAGTCAACGTCAATTCAAGGACATCTCTTTTCATATACAATTTCGTGCATACTTGTCACTTCCCTATATTGATCACTATGCAAGTACAGCGTGCCATTCTTGCGCTTAGTACATGTCACGTGGAAAGCGCGCCTAATTACATAATACTGTAGTCGAGGAAATAAGTTGTGCCACACCCCCTTCTTTTATGTGACTTTTTTCGAGTTTATGGATCCTTCAAAGACACTTGAAACCAAAAAATTTCGGACTATTGATTACTTCGTGCGTGGCTGACCAAGAAATCAATGAACGATGCCCCTAAGATCATTTATATGACAGTTACACAGTGAGTCGCAAAATTGTTGGCACACGCAAGAAGCAGTAGGAATATAAAGGATTAAAGAAATAATAAAAGAGTTTTTCAACACTTTTTATTTAAAAAATATAATATTTCGACCATGAACTTTCAGTATTATGAAAAAAACAATAATAACACCATTTACAGTTATAAAAAAATTAAACGAAACGATCCCGTGCATCGTTCGACGTCACAAAACTATTGGCACACCTAACATAGTCTATGAAAAACAATAGAATCAACTTGTTTTGATATTCTTTTCTTCTCTTTGCTGTTATTCAGACTCGGTATAAGGTGTTGTAATGATTAGTTAACACCTGAACGAAGAATTTAAGTCTAAAGAAAAATTTTTGTCTAACATTCTACTATGCTGAGAAAAGCAAAAGAAACTAATTTACAAAGAGAGTACAAAACCATAGGGTCACTGATTTAGTTCAAATTTTGCACATACAAGTGCCAATACATTTTATGACTTGCTGTACATATATCGGATGGTAGCATAGATCGTTCAAAGGTGAAACAGGTGGTTGTTGACAAAACTGCCTTCTATTTTTATAAATCAATTTTGAATTGTGATAATTGTTATTTAACAAGCTAAAATAAATTACACGTAATTGTAGTATTAATTACATCTTGACAAAATGCTAAGATTAAAACAATGGTGAATCTCAAGTTTGTTTTGTATAATTCAGTGTCAACTTCAGTGTCAATTTGTACAATGTAAAACAATGTTTCAGCCTGGATTAAGTAGTATATGCACTACGAGATATTCAAAATGCCAGACTATTGGTTAATATCCGCACCTGGAGATGAAACATGTCAGCAGACATGGGACACTGTGAACAACTTGACCTTCAGGCAACATTCTTTATCGGTCAACTACAAATTCCCCATCCCAGATCTAAAAGTTGGAACCCTGGATCAACTAGTTGGTCTGTCGGATGACCTTGGAAAACTTGATATGTACGTCGAGCAGATAACCCGCAAGGTTGCAACATATTTGGGGGAAGTGTTAGAAGATAAAAAGGACAAGCTTCATGAAAATCTTATGGCCAACAATAGTGAGTACAACAATATTGTGCTTGTATCTTTAGAATTTGCTCTTTAATTTACATTTATCCTCCCATAGAAGAGGGTAGGTTACCAAATATTCAGGGGTCCAAAATTATTTAACTTTTCTTTTTTTTTTTATATATATGTTACATGTACCGAGCAAAATTTCTGACATAAAGATTATAATAGAATATTGATTTTTGGACCCTTGTAGACAGGTATCGATCGATTTTTTGTGTATGATGTTCTAACAAAATTATATCGGTTGGCAAAAAAGACATCAATGAATACTATACACAACACAAAACATGCACACTACTTAAAATTTTTCTTTAACGATGATCTTAAACATGTATCAGTTTATTTATTAAGATTTTTAATTTAATCATTGATGATAATAATAGCACGACTAGAGTCTTTGATCCTGATTCTCCTCAGTACCCTACATTAATAGATCAGTAAATGAAAATAAAATTTTGTCTGTGTATGCTAATTATAATATGAAGTAGTACTGTTTTTAGAAAATATGTCCGAACGGACATATGATTTTTTTTTCTCCTTTTTGTGTTGAGGATAATATACAGGAAAAATACTTGTTGCTATAGCACATAGTAACTGACATTCATACATATGATGTGTACCATAAATCTCAAACATATATAATTTCATAACATTATTATTACAGAATATCATTGTATTTGGAATTTGTTTGGTTTGATAGAATATTTAAACTATTGAAGTTTGTTTTATTAACATACTTTCTGTGCATGTCATATTTCATTGAATCTTCATTACCATTTGAAATAAAAGTTTAATACGGTCTAATAGACTGTAATTGACCAATACCTTCAAATATTAGAGTCCATGAAAGTTATTATAGCAGGCATAACAAACACATGTATATTTATACGTAACTTAATTTATATAAACATTTTTACAATTGACATTATGCACCTTCATTTAAATATGTAAATTCTCAAAAACTATAGATATTATTTAAAATGTGAAATACTTATGGTACACATCATATTCTGCCATATAATTTATATATTTGTAGAATGCTTATTATTACTATTGGGTTAGAAATCATATCATTTATTACTTACTACGAATAATTTTTCATGTTTGTGGTGTTGCTTGGCTTGCTTTATTTTATTTGGACCACATTAACCCTGTTTCCCTACCTTACTTATGATTTTATTAACAAATGCTCATACATGTGCACTAACAAAGATGTTGTATAAAGCTACAACAAATTTTAAGACACAAACATGCAGTATCGTGTACTAAAATGAAAAACAGATTCCAATATACTACTACATACACATCTGGACCTGTAGACCACATTCGTTAATAGTTTACATAAGGACACAAGAAGTTGCTTGGGTTACTGTGGTCACCAAGCTCCAATTAGTTATTACAAGGATTATTTCCTTTTCTCTTTAGTTCTTCCATTTATTGTTTCTCCCTTGGCATTATTCGTTTGCAATTTAAGATTAAATCATTGCATATCATTTACTCATACAGTTTTCAATTCTTTTGTTCATTCCGATTACGTATTATTTCTTTTCCGATTTTTTATTATTATTTTTATCACATTGGAGTATTTAACGAAAAGTTTGCTTCGCGATACTTAATTTTTATAATAAGAATAAAATGAAAAAATATAAATAACGTATCTCGATAATTAGATAATGTAATTGTGAGGTGCATAATTTTTTTTTTATATATTTGTTTAAACATAACGTGTTCTTCCAATTTATTCGTCTTCGATAAGGACGAGTAACTCTTCGATACAGTTTTTATTTTTATTAAATACAATTAGGGTAACTGTCCTAGTAATCGGAATTGTAGAATTCACACTGTATCGATGATCAATTTTTTCGATTTTCTCACATTTCAAACTTCGTATTTCAAGATTTGGTCATTCTGTTTGGTACGCTATCTAAGCAATAACGATATTAGAAATAAAAAGTTTGATTAAAAATTTAATCAAATCCGTCCCCTTTCTCTGACTCAAACTGTACAATTACGGCGACAATTTGTTAAAGCAAAAATTTTTACTTTGTTCCGCAGTGCATCTTAAACGTTACACTATTTTCTTTATTATAATAATTTTTACAATCTTATAAATATCATAAGTTGTAGGCCATAAGTAAAATTGTTACTTTTGACAACGTGGGACGCATACGACCCACGCGGCGTGAACGAAAAGACAACGAAAATTACGCGCGAACTTTTAATAGTCATGTTTGTTTACATAGGAAGGTGTTACGTGTCTAGCATAAAAAAAAACTCGAAAAACTATAGAATCAGACTATTATATTAAATTATCAAACAAGACTATTTTGTGTGTAATTTCATAAACTGTCTTTTTCTTAAATGTAAGTAGAGAATTTTACAAATTGTACTTAATCGAGATTCGAACGGACTAAACTCTACGTAAAACTAGCAACATAAGTGGTGTGTATATTCTTCGAAAATTATTTCTTATCTAGGCCCCCTTAGTAGTATAAGTATGAGCACAGTATTTATACATGTTTGTAAGCGTGAAACGCGGTATGGCACAAAGAAATTAACACTTAGACGGCCGTATATTCCATTCGAAAACTGTTGTCTATTGCCTGGTCTGCTCCTTGCTATTTTGTTATATCGACAATGTCGACCAAAGTGAGATCGTAAAATCACGTACGCGTGACAACGGCCGTCAAAGTGTTAAGAGAAAACTTGGCCGGGTGTCCAATTACTCGGACAGTTACCCTACACTAAACGTGAACGTTATGCTTATTAGAAGTGGGTTACAGAAATCAATGTCCCACAATAATATAAACAATTTAGTATCGTTGCAATTCGTTGTTGAATTTCAAATGTTAGGACGTCGGTGTTTTCGCGCGCTAAATACTCCGAGATTTTTCACATTTTTTTTTCCCTTTTTTTTTACGTTTGAGTTATTTTAATTGAGTTTCGACAGCATTGTCGTTAGGCATTTGCGTAGGACGCAATAATAGTTGAACGAGACGTAAGAAAAATCGCGCGGAGATTGGGATTGGGTTGTAATGGATAGGTCAAACGTCAATGGATGGGGAGAGCTCGAGCCCCGAAGGGGGTCCGGACACCCCGCCAAACACCCCCGTCACTCCATCACACAAGACTTCGAAGGAGCACCACAAGCAATGGAAGGAATCGGAGAAATGCGAACCAGAACCGGCCGCCTGTTTAGGTCAGCATCATCATCAGCGTCACCATCACCATCACAAGCATCATCATAGTCATAAACATCATAATCATTCTTCTGATTTCGACAAGAAATCGTCACACAGCCCTCAAGGCCTCTGCGATGCCCGATCATCGAACGATCCCTTATCGGTATATTCATGCTACCACGCGCATTGGTGCGCCGCTTCAACCTCTTCCACGCCTATTCCCAGTCCCACCCCAACGAGTCCCAGCCATTCCCTTTCATCAAACTGTAGCAGCGAAGGAGAGACCAGATGGCAGTCGTCGACGCGTCATCGGAGTAACGAGAAAGCGGAACGTTCTACCAGCAATCGCAAATCGGTCAGCAATGACGACGACGACGACGACGACGACGAAGACGATGCGGATCGAAACAGCGACCAAGACCAAGACCAAGACCATAGCGGCAATTTGCCCAATCCAGGTACCCGTCCTACCACACCGCCAGGTCAAAACCCGTCGAACCTTTATCCCCCAACATAGCTGCGAGACTTGTTTAAACCTAATTTTCCTTGTGCACCTCGTGACTTTCGCCCGTTTAGCGACCGATTCTTGTCTTGTCTTATCTCCTTCGGAGGTAGATATAGGAGAGAGAGAAAGAGAGAGGTTGTCATTTCATAGTATTCGAAGTTTTTTTCTGAACAGTGATATTCGCATGCAGCTTATGCTTAGAGAAGACGATGTCCGGTAAAGGAAAAATAATGGAAATTCACGTTACCTCTAGTTTCGGTTATTCTACGGTCACTGTAAGGCGATTCTACGTAACTGGAGCAAACTGTGGCTCGCGTTCAAGCGGGGATAGAGAGTATTGATACAGAAAAACTATACAGAATAACATTTTTATAAATGCTAGAAACGATCTCTACGGTATAACTACCTGTTATATATGTTATAACGAATGTATAAACATCGCTGTATATTTATATCAAAGCGTATTCTATTGTTGCTTTAGACGCCAAGAATTCCTAGACACAGCCTTGGAAACAAAGTATATCGATCGAAATCTAGAAAATCATAAATGTGTAAGAAAAACTCAATATGAATCTTGGCATGGAAATTATAAAATATTTAGTCGTCAACAATTGTATTCATCTTATTAGATTTACGTATGTCTAACTTGCTTGTTAATTGTGGTAGATCAAACCGGTAGTAATAAGTAGACAATTTATATACTTGGTGTATTTGTACTGTGTAATAAGAATGGACGGAATATCGTGATCGAGGACAACCGCTATGAACGTATTTTTATAAATTAAAAATAAAATCTAAAGACAAAGCGTGTGCTCGTAACCTTTTGTTTCAATCAATAATGCGAGAGATAAGATTAGAATGAATTCCTCTTCAGGAAATACATTTTTAATAATTGTAATTTATATCAGAATCGCGGCCTCTTTGTTAGAGTATTACAATTGTCTAAAATAATCATAATTGAGATAAAGTATCGTCGATTATTTTTATCGTTGCCTGGAAAAGGGTCGCAGTTTATCCCCAGTTTCTAGAACCAGCCTGTTATAACGAAAGCGTCTTTATGATCCTAGTGCGCATTTCCTTCAATGTCAATTTTGCACAGCTGCACTACATATATGCAATGTTTGTAACGCTGAAGTATTTTTCTGCCGAATCTTGCCTCCGATGTAATTAGATTAATTAAAGTCGTTTTTAAATGTCAATGTGCTGTATCAAATCAGAAAGCATTGCTTATTACGTATATTATTTTTTTGTTCTTTCACTGTAAGTAAATTTTCTACACTTTCTTTCCTTGTAATTGAATTTGCATTGTTCAAGAGACACGATTTTGTTTTTGTATATCTATGACCCGAGTATATACATCGTGTATTTGTATATAAATACATACATATATGTATATATGTTTTGTCGAATGAAGAAGAAAAAAAATGGAGGACACTTTACAAAAGTCATGACAATCTCTCTCCGGTGCTTACAGCATACACGAAGTGAGACAGTACCAAATGGAAAAGAAAAAAAAATATATACTTTGCTTGATTTACTTAGCTTGCGATTCAATAATAAAAGATCCTAGTACATATATATATATATATATATATATATATATCGAATATTTTACGTTGTATCGCAATAATTTCCTTGGCGACGGTTTTCCACGACATTTGATTTCTCGTGCACGCAGGAATTAAAAATATTGGAAGATAACAAAAAAAAAAAAAAAAAAAATAAAAACCAAACGGCTGATCGTGTTTCTGACACATTTTTGAATTGCAACAAATGTACGCGTACGTTCGGGAAGTTTGTTTTTCGGGAAATGCTCTAGTATGTTTTTAAGTTCTTAGCTAGTTTCTTTTTTCTACTCCCGCGTCCTAGTTACGACTAAATATATTTTCACAAAATTTTTCTACAAATTGCAAGATGCATTAAGAAATTCGTATTCGATTAATTTCCTTTTTTTTTATCGTTCAATCAATTGTTCCAGATGCTGTGGACGAATGAATGAACACATAGCGTATTACCTTAATCATATATTGTCACCCTTTCTTCATATTTTAATAGCTTCTTTCCATCTCCTTTTATTTCATCTTTTCTTATACCATACTTTGCTTCAGTTCGTTTTATTTATACGATTCTATTTTTATACATTTATTTAAAAAGATACACGATTAAAGAAATGTTAACTTGATCGAAGATTATTGACAGAATTCCTTGACACAGTTACAGTATTTTAATATAATCGGTTCGCAGAATATGATTGTTTTAGCATTACTTTAAGTTGCTTCGATCGTTGAAGGAAACGTCGTTAAAAAAATTGAAACGATCGATTGAAAACGGCAGGTGTGAATGTAAAATGTTCGCTATATTCACAGATATTATCTAAAGTATGGTTTAAGAACGATCGTAGAAGATGTGTGCTACACTTGGATAAAAGCAACACTATCTTTGTATGATTTTTATTTAATTAAATAAATTTTTTAGCATTTTTCCCATACCTAGCTTTCACATTGCTTTTTAACCGTTACTTTCTATAATTTTCATAAAAAGGACAATACTGCACAAACTATAATACATGTACAACATATGTATTATGGATGCTAGCACAGATTACAGAAGAGACACAATTAACAAAAAGTTTTTAAAACACTTATCGATCGGTACATGGACTTATAAAATACTGTTCCGCATGTTCAGATAGATTTTGAAGACAGTATGGTGCTCAATACCCTTCAACACTACAAGTTACCATTTCACAAAATACATCCCACCGATCAACTTTAATAAAGTACCTCATAAACAGTTAGCATGAAGTGCTTAGACATCTTTGCTTAGCTGTATACTCTGTGTCGATGTTACTATTTCTCATAATATGAAAACATCAATGTTAGGTCAATAATACACACGGATCGTCAATGTTACATAAAAATAATTTTTTAAGTGTATGGAGAAATCCATACTATGTAGTGTCCGTGGATCACTATATTTTATAGTATTCATCACATTCATACTCTGATAAACCAAGTGTGCATGCGTGCGTGCGTTTATTCAAAATTATAACAAATCAACAGCTTTATAAACAAAAAAAATTAATTAATTAATTAATAACGCAGTATTTGAAAATTTATATTAATTACAGAGTTATCATAAATTTTGTTTGAATGAATACCTTGAAGAGTACAATTTGCTTTTTTCAAATTAACAATAAAGAAGAAAAAGTATACTTTGTTATTAAAAATTTAATTAAAGGAACTAGCTAGAACAATATAATGTTCGATTCATTCAAACGTGATTTACGAGTAATTCCATTCCATATAGTTATTTGAATTAAATAAGATACTTGGAACCAAACTGTAACTAAAAATTGTTATCTATGAGGGAAATATGTTTATTTAAATGAAACGATTCTCATGATATAAATGAATACATTGATAATAACAAAATGCTTCTATACATTAATGTTTTGCATGCTGTATTTTGTTAATGTCTCGCTTATTTTTGTAATGCTAATTAACTAGTAAGGAGCGTACTAGAATCAAGAGAAATGAGTTTAGTAGAAACAGTCTTTCTCTATTATCTCATTGTTGTCGATACTCTCCTTATCGCAGAGTTAGTCTGAGAATTGTTTTAATTTTGATCCAGCTAAGATTAGTTTAATTTAGATACATACTCATATGCATAATATATGTATATGTACACACATGTGTTTAAAAAATGCAAAATCGTGAACGCAAGTCGGGAGACTTTGTTTCTTGAAAGAAAAAGAATCGATGCTCGCGATTTTGTATACGTATGTAAATACATACGGTCTATTCACGTGTTTGTACGATATACTGTATAATTCAACAGAGCTTTCTCATTTTCAGCTTTTAAATTTTCTCAAATCATTAATGATACATATATATTCAATGCTACGTTAAAAAGCACATTTTAAGCACCTAGTATTACATGTAATTTAAACATTGCATGTTATTTATGATTCTATACTTTCCAAAATTTCGTGAGCTCTGTTCGAATATTTCTATAGAAATTGAAAACTTTTACACCACGAGACGATTACTTTAACATTTTAAATTTACTAGGTGATCTACCATCATATATAACTCGATTCCAGTGGGATCTAGCAAAATATCCTATCAAACAATCCCTAAGAAATATTGCCGAGATTATCTGTAAACAAGTGAGCCAGATCGATGATGACCTTAAAACCAAATCTACGACATATAATAATTTGAAGGGCAGTTTACAAAATCTCGAAAAGAAACAAACGTAAGTTAAAATGTTCAATGTTTTATACGCGATACAATACAATACAATGCCTTTACGCTACGAAATGTAAATACAAATAATTGTTATTCCACAGTGGAAGTTTATTAACAAGAAGTTTGGTAGACTTGGTGAAGAAGGAACACTTCATCTTGGATAGCGAATATTTAACTACGTTACTTGTTATCGTGCCAAGGTATATCTATTTAGTTTCTTCTATAACGTATTCTTAATATTATTGTTAGTATTTATTAATGAATTTACTTGAACGAAACATTTTAGGGACAGCTACCACGAGTGGCAGAATAATTACGAAAGATTAACGCCGATGATTGTGCCACGTAGTACACAACTTATTTTCGAGGATACTTACCATGGTTTATTTACTGTTACCCTGTTCAAGAAAGTTATCGAAGAATTTAAAGTGCATGCTCGCGAGAAAAAGTACATAGTTCGCGATTTTACATACAACGAAGAAGAAATGGCAGCAGGTAAACAAATTAATGAATTTCTATATCTATTTTTGTCGAATATAATTTTATTGATTTAAATAATAATTGATTTTTATATTTAAAAGAAATTCGTGTATGTAGCCGATGAGCGTTTACGTAATTTCAATTATAACGTTTTCGACCTAATCGTGGGCCCTCTTTAGGAAAAAATTCTATAATTTTATAATAAATAGGAGTAATGATTATAATAATCCATTCAATAATTTTTACTTACAAACGACGAGTAGAAATATCTCTGGTTTTAATGCAACATATTACCAGCTTAGCAAGCATATGTTTAACCACAATTTGTGGAGAAACATTAACTAAGATGTATTATAGGGAAAAATGAGATTACAAAACTGGTAACTGATAAAAAGAAACAATTTGGACCTCTTGTGCGTTGGCTGAAGGTCAATTTCAGTGAATGTTTCTGTGCATGGATTCACGTTAAAGCTTTGCGAGTATTTGTGGAATCTGTTCTAAGGTAATATCATTTAATATCCACAAGCGCGAAATTTCCGAATGTATATGTATATTGATTGGATCAATAACTTAACAGGTATGGCTTACCTGTCAATTTTCAAGCAATCCTATTGCATCCACATAAAAATTGTACAAGACGATTACGTACCGTTCTCAATCAGCTTTATGCTCATCTAGATTCCTCTGCTTCTACAACTGGGCAAGGAAATCAAGATGTAAGTTACAATACGTTATTATTACCATTACCAAGGTTTTTGTTGGTACATTATTCATTCGAATAATGAACTGGCAATGATCCATCCGATAACACCCTGCATATAAAATTAATACAAATATCGTTTAAGGAAATATTTTATAAATGTTTCTCTTCGAATAAACAATTAATTAATATTTTATATATTGATTTGTTCGAACAGAGCATGGATGATATGCCAGGATTAACTTTCGGCCAAAGCGATTATTTTCCTTATGTATATTATAAAATCAACATAGACATGGTCAACCAGCAGGTTAATCATTAAAGATGAGACCATTCTCGTTCTATATTTTAAATATTTTTTCATTCACATAACATACTTCTATAACTCCAGGTACTTAGCAACAGGTGCGTACAAAGTGTACGAAATATGGTTTATATTCTTGGAATTTTTGTTGCAACCTTGATTTTCAGTGTATCTGTAATTATCGTCTGTTCACTTCCAGGAGTAGGTAAAACATTTATTTGAAAATTATATTTTTATAGTAGATTTAAATGCCTGGAGAGAATGTATGAACTATGATATTAGCTCAATGTAAACTGTGCATAATAGATTGTGTAATTATTTGTATAAATTCCAACAAACGTATTTGAATACATACCACGAACTTCCTTTTCTTTTTGAACTATGTTTTCCATACTTATAGCTACTCTGACCGCTTCAAACTTGCAACTTTATAAAACCTAAACATGATGAAAGATTTATTCTCACAGTTATAGAAACCATTAGATGTGTGCAAGAACCCGGATATTGAGTCAGGTCGGGACGGGTTTCCGATAGAGTCGGGATCCTCCTCAATGTTCAAGGTTTTTTAATTTAGTATCAAAAGGGGATCGATCGTCTTCTTTTCCTGCTTTGTGCAAACTGCCAGCAGTCAAATTATTTTCCAATATCATTTATGCAGTCCTAGGACCCATATCTTGTTATATGTATCATATTATATAAAATGCTTGAAATCTTGAACATTATTGAAAATTCCAACTATCGAGAATCCCAAAAGCTTTAGAAACCTGACCCAACCCGACCCGCCCGACCATGGGGTTCTCATATACCTCTAGAAACCATACACATACTCCTTTTGGTGCCTACATTAATTTATTAATGTTCTCACAATTAAATATAGCACAACCTATTTTACACGGTATTAGAACAAGCAAAAACAAACGAGTATCGTGCCAGAATAAAAATTCTGCAATGTATAACTGTATTATTTTATGTATTATCTATAAAATTAAGAACATTGTGAATATTGTTACGAAAAGAAACGCGCATCTTGTTATTATGAAAACATAGAAAATGATAATATTGATCAAAATGATGCTTTATCTGTCTTCGTTCAAAGGCCTTCGTATTACACATGCTACGTGGCAACTAGTAAAATAAGTATTATTTGGATATCGTTCCGCAGAAAGTTATTTTATCGAATTCATTCGAAATTACTATTTCAATGGTGCATATTGTACAATTACGTACTAAATAAAAGTTACGAAATCGCGAAACCGGTAGTTTGAACCTCGAAGTATTATTATTAAACATTATTAACAAAGGGAACGAAATTTTATCATCGTTGATTAAAATTTGTATAAAAATAGAATTTTCCTATGTTATGCGATTGACATATTCTATACGTTTTAAACGTTCTATGTATCATACTGATAATTCTGAAAATGTATTATTTTTAGAAGTGTGCAGGGATCGGAAAATGTCGGGAAACCGATGGTAAGGACGGATTGGGTTGGGTTCCCATAAAAAATCAGGATTCCCGATAGCGTCAGCATTCTTAAAAATGCTCAAGATTTTATTTTGATTTTAGTTACTAAAGTAAAATCATGAACATTGTCGAGGATCCTAACTCTCTTGTAAATCCTGAAAGTTCCAGGAACCCGTCCTAATCCCAAGGTAAACTTCTGGCCCGATATTTTCAAATTATCGTACACCTCTAATTAGTTTATATACCATAAAATTAATTAGAATATTATATCCCTCTTATATAATTTTACAAGTTCCAGTTGTAAAAACAATATTTCAGTTATAGTGATGACAATACTAGCCAAACGATAAATGTATGTTGAATCCATAAATAAACGAAAATGATCATTTAGTTTATTTGCTTCTATAAACTGCATAGATAAATGGTATTAAATAATAAATGCAAAGTTATTGTCATTATATTCATTTATTAAAATCAACAATAATGTTCCCAAAACCTTTAAATATAAAGTGTACGAATTGAAATTGTTGGTATTAAAATGAAATTGTTATTTTGTTGATACTGTTGTAGTAATGTATAAATATAGTAATATTAAAAGTTAATAAACTTTAAGAAGAAACGTTACTATCTCTGCACAATTCCTGAAGCGAGAAAAAAATCCATGTTAAAGTCGGTATTTTTGTACCTATGCCTTATGTAAGTATTGGATAAATGTTACCTTCAAAGCATCGATTTCATTATCCCAATTCCGTTCGCCTATAATTTTAGTTGCTTTTGTAAGCAGATTCGTTACTTTAACGATATTATTTTTAAACACTTGTACTACGTCGCTTGCATGAACATTATCTCCACAATCGCGCCAACAATCATAATCTGTCGCCATTGCTATAATCGCGTACAGAAGTCCTGCTTCTTTTGCTAAATATACCTGATTTAAAAGTTTACATTTAAATGATTTCCTGTAGTAATCAAATATGGGCATTCGATTTTATCTTGTATTCGTTCATAGTATTGAATATTAAATACATTTTGTCCATCCCTAATTTTAAAAAAAAATTTAATACCTCCGGACATGTAGTCATACCAACTAAATCTCCACCCCATAGACGTAAAGCATTGCTTTCAGCTTTTGAGGAAAAACGAGGTCCTTCTATAGCCACTATGGTTCCACCATTTTTTACTTCGTATCCCAGTTCCTTGCCAACTTCGAGTAATATATTTGATGTCTCTGGATTAAAAGCCGGTTCCATTGGCATGTGGCATACACCTGTAATATAACATTGTATAACACTTATTATCAAATAATATGTAATATACTAATAGCGTGTATAAAGAAAACAATTTACCTGGATATTTGGGTGAAGTACCATCGTAAAAAGTCACGTGTCTTTTGATTGTTCTATCTATAAAACTATCCGGGATCACTAACTGGCCTTTGCAAATGAATTCTTGCAAGGAACCACATGCTGCAGTTGCAAGTATGTGAGTACATCCAGCTAATCGCAAGGCTTCAATGTTTGCACGATAATTTACTCCAGTAGGGCTTATCGTATGACCTGGTCCATGTCTATGTTTATTAATTATGTAAAATATCTTTATTTAAATTTTATCTTCAAGGCAAAGAGGTTATCAGATATAAACGAAGAATTATAAACTGTACAAATTCGAGTATAATCGACTTATCGCGAGTAATTAACAGGTCAGATATAGAAACTCTTGTTAGATTGTTATGCATTCGTTCAAACGATTTAATTACTGATACGAATGATATATTACCTTGATAATAATACCACGTCTACACCGTTAATATTTCCATGATACAGATTACTAGAAGGTACTCCAAAATCATTTTTTGCCGCTAATCGGGTAGTTATTGTACTACAATTGAGGATCTGATTTTGAGGATCATTCAAACCAGAACCACCGATTATACCGACCTATAAATCACAATTTCATGAATTTCTATAAATCGGTGATTCTTTCGATTAGAGAAGAAAATAATCGCCAGACACCTGTTCGACATGCGATAACTTCACTATTATATTCTATATAAAAACATAATGATGTATGGTTTCTACGTAACAGAATCGTATCACGTGCGCAAATTTATAAAGTGTACAAGAATCATTCAAAACTTAAGTTGGTGTGTATGTAGCAAATCGTTAGACAAACTAGAAAAATGCACTTTTCTGAATTGTATTATAGAAATTACCTTACCTTCACTTTATACTTAGCCATTCCAAAATCAGTTAAATGTTATTCGATTCGTTTATTTGTTATCTACCACTTCCTGGTTTTGGAGATATATATGCGTTATCAATAAAAAGTAGGTTTAACAATCACTTCATAGAATCAAGTTGAGAAAGGCGCCATCTGGCATTAATGATTTCGTATAATATTAAAAATTCCGACATCCGTGTGAAACACATGTTACCTTTTATATTCCAAAGAAAAGTTTGGATTTACAAAACTTTTATGTAACTTTACATATGTTCCTATTGTTACATGTTTTTTTTAGAACATTTATTTTGAAAAAGTGAAAATATTAGAAATATTAAAACTATTGCAACTGTCGGACAAACGAATTAATACGACTACACATACATGCAGTGTATATTAAAATACAAATAAATAGAACAACTTTTAATTTCTGTTTTTTCAAAAATATAATTATTTAAACTTTGGCGTGGAATAGCAGCGTTATAAAAATACGTAACTTAAACGAATACTTTTTTCTTTTTAAGTATAATTGTTTAATTCATTGTTTAATAATAAAAAAAAATCTTTATTGAGTCAGTAAAAAAAAAATGCTTCAACTGATGATTCACATTCAAACAATATTAATCCACTTATACATAGGCGGCTTAGTAATAACGAAAAATGAAAATATATTAAACTTCAAAGTTCGTCAGCGTCTTCCAGGCGTTTGATAACTTTTTTATATTCCTCTTCTAAACTTCTATATTCTTTTTCAAGCGTTTGCATACGTTGCTCCAATGTAGGTAATGTGATATTCGATCGTTTATCGATATTTTGCAATGCACATTCCAACTTTTTCAAATCGTTCTGTTCGCGTCTATACGGGATATTCAGTCTCCTTTTTACATCTAATCTGTACTCACGATATTCTTGCTCGTTTCCTAAATCTGTTGCACGTAATCGCAAAATTTCATATATCCTACGAGCTTGTTTCTAAAGATAAAAATTATTTCCCGTTATACGAATATATTTATACGTTAGTTAATATCGAGAAAAAAAGAGACGCGTCGTAAGTACCTTATTGATTTTAAACTTTTCTTTAGCTTCTGTAGCCATTGATTTATTAAAACCTTGGAGCAGATACTCTCGTGAAAAACGAGCTAACGTGTTGCAGTTCACTGCGTCCACGTAATCTCTTAGTCGTTGAAAAGTCACAGACGGGTCCTCAACTACAAAAATGATGACAATGCCTTACCAAAATGAACTAGATTTACTGAAACGAAATTGATTGATCAGGCCCCGCTTTGGTTCGCTTTTTTTTCGAAAGCTAAACACTGGTTAGGCATAGGAATTGTGATTATTGTACATAGAAGCCAACACACATTCATTTACCTGTTATATCTTTGACTTGATTTCTTCCCATGTATTCACGATAAATAGCGTGTAATAAATGGGCACCAAGACCCATGTTTTGAAACGGTGGTAAAATTAGAACTTGAGCTATACGGGGTCTTGTATGATGTGGATATGCATAATACTGATAGACAGTCGCGTAACCAATAGTCGCGTAACGAACAGTACCATCTGCTGTATGATACTTTTCAAACCTACATAGAGGGAAAGAAAACTGCTTGAAAAGTATACATGTAATTGATAAGCAACAAATAATAATGACTGGACTTACATATTAAAGTAATGCCATCGATCATCGTCTATGTCTATGTAATTAGCAGCATCTATGTACCAGAGGATAAATGTTTGAAGACGTTGGTGGTACTCTTTGAATCCTTTATAAGTCATGTCTGCTTTATAAACTTCGAATTTCCTTGTACAGCCTTCATCTATATAACAATTACATTGCTTGTTACCATAAAAATCAGTACAATATGTACAATGTGTATAGAATATAATGGAGTACTTTTAAATGAATAATAATAATTGTAATAAAATGTTACCATTAAGACAAAATGAATGCAGCAATTCTCCATGAGGTCTGAACGTATCATCCTTTTTCAGGGATTTGATAAATGAATCTAGGCTTTCATGAATTTGCGGTGCAAGCTTCTCTGCAACTTTTGGCAACACTTCATCCGCTTCGACCCCCTCATAAATCATTTTATTTATTTTCTCTGTATAAGTCATACCTAAATAAGTTTCTAAGCAACCTGCAGAGTAGTATAGCTTCACTCTGAGATCCCGGTAACCGAATATAGATTCGCTGACAAATAAAATAAATAATCAAAAAAAATAATTAACAAATGAATTCAATAAGTTTGATTAGACAAATTCGATAAATATAACAACATATATTTCAATAACAAACCTGTCTCCAAACACTTGATGGGACATTTCTGGTTTGAATGTAATTTCATCATTCTCTAGATCGTTTATAGTACGGATCAATTTAAATTCCAAAGCATCATTACTACTTACTACTAAAGTTTTTAAACGTGCCATAGTTGGATCCTCCATTTTACTGTAATAACAAAATAAATAACGTATACTAATCTGTAAATTATAAACGTAATAGTAGTTAGTTTATTGCAGGTATATTTAATCCCTTGTTTATAAATATTACTGATTATTCGTCTTATTTTTCTATAATAAATTACAACTTAAATTATTTAATAATTACATTTATATTGCACAATAAATATTTTAAATTATTTTATATTGTACTTGCAATTACATAGATTTGACCTTGATCAATAGACCTTCAAATCTACGTTCGTAGGTTATACAACGTGTATAATACAATTGATTAATATATTAATTACGATATGTTCATAACCACAAATTACAGTTTAGCCTTGCGTTTCAATGTTTCTAACAATTATTGAAATTTTTGCAGATTACACGTGGTATTATTACATTGTTATACCTTATTTTAATACCTGTATATTATACGTTTCAATAAATATCACTTTATATTCTTTTTTTCTTTAAATATGACTATAAAACAACTTCGCGCCAAAAAGAAACGGTTATTCAAGCTATAGTTACAATACTTCTGAAATTTAAAGATCGACTGTGCCTTGTGTCCACTGTCTAAATACTTGTAAGCCATTGGTTCTTTCGAGAAAGTAACCCCTTTTAATTCATACAACTATTTTTAAATTCACAAAGGACCAATATTATATCTTGATCGTGTTTGATTATTGTAAGCCAAAATGTATGCAACAAAATTTAACATTGTATGTACACAACAAACAAAGTTGTCAGCTTAAACTTTAAATCCAGTAATTCACATTCGATATAAAAAAAAGAAAAGTCATTATTCAAAACAAAATGCGACTCATAATTTCTATACATTGGTTTGTAAATATAGATTTTGAAATGCGTTACACGTTTCATAATATTGCTTAACTTCTAAAATTAACCGACAAGGGTAAAATACAAGAAAATTTAATTAATAATCAAATATGCCAGCAGGGGAAGTAAAAAAAACGAAAGAAGCTTTAATATTTCATACGTATCCTTTATGTAAGGTATATGAGACCAGGTTGACAATTAAAATGGCATAATATTTGTTGAATATACATATACATTCGCATAGCTCTGTTCAAGATAATTAAAGTTCCCAAGCATAATTCTGTCTTAAATAAAGTGTTTGTAGCATAGCGACATGAAGGAAGAAATGAAGCAAGAAGCTATGGAAATGTGTGTTACTGCAACGGAAAAGTTTTCCGATAATTATGAACTTGCAGCACGATCAATTAAAGACGGTTTAGACAAAAGATTCGGAGGGCCATTTCACGTAGTCGTTGGGGAATCGTATGCTTGTGCGATTATATATCAAGAACAATCATTATTATACATGTATAATGGTGGTAATGTTGCCATTCTCGTGTGGAGGACAATTGCAAATTTTTAAATAGAATGATGAAATTACAGTGAAATATATACATATATACAATATCGTTTGATCTATTAATTTTGTAAGCAGAGCTTTTTCGTTTAACCACCAGATGTCGATTATCTTGATCATGAAGTAGATAGAGAGTAAACATTCTTCAACCTCTTCGAAACTGTACCAATAATTTAAAACTTAGTGCTGCTGTTGATTGACTGTTTATAACGAAGAGTCGAATATCTACTTCAATATTTTATTCGAGCAGTTGATATAATTTTGTATCCGAAGTAAAATTATCTGTGTTCAACATTTACGTTGTTTTGACAATACACAGTGAAATGGTAAGGATAAATAAATAAATTTACTCGTGTGAATATGTGATCGATACTACATTAAAATTTATAAAAACATATAGTTGATGTTTATTTATTTTTCGTTGTGTTTAAATGTATCATAATTTATAATTGAAGACGCAGTAACGACGATTCATGAATATCTGTACACGTGTATGTCATTGTGATTTCATCGATAATAAACTTTTTTTTTACTGCATTTCGATTATTGTTATTTATTTTTAAAAAAATAACAAACGAATGTGACGTCTCTAATATTTTGTTATATTTAATCATTTGAGTGGATTTAAGGTTATGAGAATACAAAAATGTTTAGACGATTGCAATTAAATTCATCGTTGAGTATTTGTCAAATAACTTTATTATTTAGTTATAGATTTTTACAAGAATATAAATGGGTAATTCTCAAGATATGTATATTAGCCTTTGATTTTAATTCTTATAGGCTAATACGCTTGTTATAGCAGGCATAGGCCTCGCTGCAGTTGGTTTCACCGGACGTTATATTCTTAGAAAGATGCCAGGTTTATCTCAAAAGATGGCAGAGGCGGTTAAAAATATGCCAAAATTAGATTCGCAAGTAAGTTAGTTTAAATATAAAATTTAGTTGCTGATGTCACAATGAATATAATCAAATGTATGTTTATAGACATTAGCAAATAACAAGTATTATAAAGGTGGGTTTGAATCTAAAATGACTCGTCGTGAAGCTAGTTTAATATTGGGTGTATCGCCAACTGCTAATAAAGCAAAAGTAAAAGAACAATTTAAAAAGGTTATGGCCGTAAATCATCCGGATCGAGGTGGGTCCCCTTACATTGCTGCAAAAATTAACGAAGCAAAAGATTTGCTTGAAAAATAACCCTAGTAAAAATAGTTAAACGAAGAACTGGTTATGATAATTTGTATTACATCTGTAATTGTAAATTTAATTCTAGCAAACAAATTTATATGTACATACCCAAGAACATAAGTAGATCTTATACTTAATTTATAATAAAGTTATTTGTAAATAGATACATTGCTGGTTATTTTAATTTCAATACTGTCTATTTGAGCTAAAAACCATAGTAATAAAAATACCTGATATATGATTAATATAATAAATATATTACAATCTTACGGTATATATAATAAAACTAGTATTTACGAATAATTGTTCTTTTTTACAAATAATAAGTGTATAAAGAATCTTGTAAATCAATAATATGAACATCATCCGGTATATTGTCTTACCTTTTCGTGTTAAATTTATATTTACAGGAACTCTGTAGACGTAACATTATAATACAATCTTACGCAGCATACTCGTTTTGTAATAATTATAAAAAAAAAAAAACAATATATTGACTAGAATATTTCAGTGGACAGAATCTTTTTCTTAGTACTATCGTCCTAATTTGCTCTCTTTTTGTTCTATGCGTTGTCGCGATATTTTTGTTCGTAATTTTAGAATCGTACTACCAGGCAGTGATCCCGGTACTTTAAATATACTCTATTAAGAAAGAAATATCTTATAAGAATTGCTCGAGTATATTTGTAACAAATGATCTTCAATTTAGTGAGAAAAAAAGAAATAAATTATATTTACCTGCATGAAGTCATGACATTTTAAAACAATACTGTCCTTTGTTATTTCTTTAAAGCATTCAGCTAATGTTGTAAAATTCTGACACGCAAGCAAGTTGCATTTGTTCCTTTTTATCAGAGTCAATGCAACACGAAATATAATCTTACTGCCTTCGTAAAACAGACAGTCCCATATACGCAGCGTTGTCTGCCGGAGTCGTAAATATTTTATTCAGTAATTCTATAGTTTATGGCAATCCAAAGACTAATTCAATTATTAATATAAACTGTTAAATTAACGAATTAATTTTCGAGCTCTGTATACGCTACATATAATAATGCTTAAAAGGATTAAAACATCAAATTCTGGAGTTTTAATTTGTACAGTACATGTGATTAACTTTACCTCGATTGGTAAGACTTCTGCAAACAAACAAATAAACCATTTTGTTGTAATGACTGCCCAAGGTAGGCCTATGTTCGTGACATGCTCATAAACGTCTGGCATCTTTATCCTAAAATAGCAATAAAAATAATTTATCCCATAAATCGTTTGAAAATTAACAATCAAAATTATAAAAATTTACTTGACTAATTCTGCAAGCACATCAATATCTGTAAGCAAGCCATTCATGGTTGGTGTATAGTAATCAGGTAAAATTGTTTCTATTAGAACCTTTAACAACCAAAAAGCTGTTTCTTCGTTTTTTGTTACAAGCAGTAACAAACCTGCTATATAATTTAAGCCCTAAAGAAAATTTCAAATAGCTTTGTAAAAGTTATTTATTACAAATGGATCGCACCGTTCCAAAAAATGATGTAAGTACACCGCATTCATTATTACAATAGATCTTAAAATACTTACTTGACAATAACCTACTGTTTTATTCTGATGAGCAAAAGCTAGTAAAACATTGTATAGTTGATGCTGTTGATTTTCTGTGTTATTAAAGAATATATTGTCAGGAAAAGTTCTTGGTAGATCAGTTTTAATAATATCTGCAACTTCTTTATTATGAGAAGATTGTAATAATTTCTGGTAGAGATCTGGGGATGCATTCTTCATATCTTCTCCTCCACTAACAGAAAGCCATACCTTTGGAAGTTAAATTTCTTTTTATGCTTGTAGGTAACAATTCAATTTTTAATACGATTCGTAATAATATTGAAATAAAATTTGAAATTTCCTACTTACTAATCCTCTATGTTCGCTTGGTATGCCTTTACGAACGTATCTTTTTATTGTAATACTGCGCTGTAATGATTTTCCTTCACCAATGATTTCAGCCCATTTCTTTGCTCTTTTAGCAAGTACTTTGAGGTACTCCGAGATAAAATCTTCATAAGTTTCATAGTCAAAATCATGTGGTCTTTCGAAGCCATACTCGTCCACATTGCTAATATACAGATCAGACGGTATAAAATTATTCAACAATTGAATATTCAAAATAATAAACTAATACAAATAAACTTCACGCAATTGTCGAAATAAATAATTTATTTTCGAAAAAGTAACGTAAAAACAATTTTTTTTTAATGTATTTGAAAATTCATTGTATTCAATTGTTGTTTAATTCATTTTTATTATATTGTTATAAATTATATTTATAAAAACATAACCTAAGGGAAATTAAAACAAAAGCGCAAAGATACATACGCATACAATTTATATTCGTTAACTACATTGTGTATAGCTTTAACATATATTTGCGAAACAAACGAAAGGTTACAGTGTTATTACAGTGTAATGGAAAATTTGTCATGCTCACCTAAAACATGAACTTGCCATACCCCACACGAGACGATGCTGACATATAATTTCTGCTGTATATAGGGTGTTCAGCATACCCTTGTGGATTTTAATATTACTTTGCATTATCATCGTCGAAATGTATTAACTAATATCGTTGACACATCATAGCGATTATATCTGTTATCTCTTTTACGATTCAATTCCATGTACTAAATCAGAAGTTACTATTTAATTGTTTTCTAATACCTTTCAAATAGAATTTTTAAAAATTTCTGACTAGATTTCCAAGTTCGTTCCTTTAAATACAATAATTTCAACTTCCGAAAGCACCGACAATCGACGTTCTATAATAAGCATTTTTAGATCTTTAATCAAAAAAATCTGCAAAGCACGCAGTATGTTACGTATATAAGATTCGACATTGAAAAATTTTTTCAAATCGTTCCGGAAAAATTATTTTCGGTTGCGGGGGTCAATTACAATTATCTTTCTTCAATAGACATACCCTCGAAATCCTACCCATTTTCGAGAAAAAAATTCGAGTAGGTAGACAAATTTTTTGGCGAAATTAAAATATTTCAAATCATTTTGGAAAAATTATTTTTGATTGCAGGGGCCAATTACAATCATTTTTGGTCAATAGACATACTTCCGAAATCCTACGCATTTTCGAGAAAAAAATTCTTTTCCGAAAATATAATGTGAGGTTAGAAATGTTGCCCTGAAATTTCATCCGTACATTTCGGAGGATGTCTACATTATTATTTTCATGCAATGTTACAAATGTCAAAACAATTAAACTATTTAGTTTAAAGATTAGTAAGAAAAATATTCTTGTTGTAATCGTTTATTTGAGGTTGGGTCGGTGAATATTTCCTCATGCGTATATTTGATTTTATAGCAAAGAATGTTTATTTAATATCAATTCAATAAATTCAATTTGTATTTGTATATTTTTCGCCTATATAGGTAAATATACCATGTTCAGTTTTATTGCATAAGTTGTTCCCACAAATGAGATTTTCTTGGTCTTTAAAAAGACCGGTTCTGTCCCTTGGCCGCTGCTCGTGAAACATCTTCTTGGCCGCCAACTTCCGATTTTGATCGAATGTAAATCTTCAATTAAATTCTTCATCTCGATACGGTCCGTGTTGCTTGGGGGTTGAATACGAAGAATATTCGAAAAGTTGTTCCTTAACGTCGTAAAGTGACAAATTGCTCAGAAAAATTGTCAATTTTCAAACGATCATAACTTTTACAATAGTAAAACTTATATCATTGAAATTTTTTCTAGAAGTTGAGCTCATGAATACCTAGAAAAAAGTATTAGACAACATTTCATTTTGATTTCGATTAAAACTGAAATTTATATTGTTTTAAATTCGCAGCCATTAGCTCGGTGTTACCCATAATGAAGAAGTTCTTCTTGAAAGGTAACACCGATTACCAGGTCTCACCACGAGGAGGTTGCTGCGAGTGGAGACCCAAAGTGAGATCGATGGAACAAAGTTCGATCGACCTTCCTTTTTACACACTTAGAAACTAGATTACGCAAAAAAAAAGATGCCAAGTAATTACTGTTCTAAAACAAAGGAGGAAGCTAAATTATGGGAGACGCGACACGACGAAACGCGACACAATACTGCACAGTGCAGTAGGAACATGAGGTGCGACACGTACCGAATAGCGGGTCAAAAGGGGCAGCTCGTTACCTCTTAGCAAGTCCAATTGAAGGGGAGGAGAATCGACGCACCAGACACGGGTTCCCCATTTCTCCAACGCGTCCTGCTGGGAGCCCGTAGGACCCAACCCGGGACGTCTGACACAGGAGAGGGATCCTGAGTCGGGGCTACCGCAGACAGGAACAGGTCCCCTCTACGGCCGATGACTCTTTCCCTAGAATTGTCTCACCAGAGGACGGCAACCGACCCTTCGAACCATCTAAACGGCCGATCACTTGCTTTCTACATTAAAGCAGCGGTGACCGGAGAAACGAGACTGGAAAAGAAGCTATTAATTCATTCATTACTTGGCAATCTACGCAGTAAATAAAATAATATACAATGTAAATTGAAAATTAACGTCGTAGGTGGAATTGAGAATTAATGTGAATTAATGTGAATTAATGAAATATAGGAAACATCGGAAAAACAAGGAAAAGAAGGAAAGAGAAAAATTCGACGTTAATTTTTACATTCGCGCTGCGCCTTAAAATTAATCGCTTACGTGTAAATCCCGATGAATCCGACGTCATCTATTGATCTCCTCCTCCTCCTAGAAATTGATCTGGTAAAAACTGAAATAAAAATTAGTAGTTATGTGTACATGTAGACAAATAATAAAACCTAAATAACAAATTAGTTTGAAATAAGGAATTGGAACAATCCAACGAAGTAAATTAACGAAACGAATCATTCGAAAAAAAAGAAACCAACGATGTGTACTTTGAATTATAGATTAATTTTGAAAATTAAAAAACCAACGAAGCGCAAGACGAATAACAAAATAAATCGTAAAAGAACAAACCAACGATGAAAGCGAGACGAAGATAGAATAGAATAAATTGAAAAATATCAACCCAACGATGTAATGAATATAGATAAAACTAGATGAACGAAGAACCCAAATATGAAAATACCTAAATACATAAAAATGCAGAAAAACACAATATTTTCATTAGTTATATTAATATTAATTGTATCTATACCAAAACCAAAGGGTGATCCTTCCTTCCTGGTCAGCATCGCAGAAGATATCTGAAACAGAAAACAAAAACGCGTGACAGTACCCCCGGCGGCTCCAGGAGTACTGAAAAAATTTGCCCAGCTGTGTCCACTTTTATGCAGTCAAGCCAAAGAATCAACGAGCCAATCAGCAGCCAGTCCGCTGGGGGCGACCATCGTCCGTGCTCCTTGAAACGTTATAAGAGCCCCCTGAGGCCCTCGCGCGGGAGTTATCTCCAACCACCAAGCAAGACAGACCGCATCGAGATGAAGAATTTAATTGAAGATTTACATTCGATCAAAATCGAAGATGGCGGCCAAGAATGTGTTTCAAGAGCAGCGGCCAAGGGACAAAACCGGTCTTTTTAAAGACCAAGAAAATCTCATTTGTGGGAACAACTTATGCAATGAACTGAACAACTTTTATATTTAACAACTCAGAGACACTTTACATCTCTGTTTTGTAACAACTTTTATATTTAACAATTCACAGACACTTTACATCTCTGTTTTGTAACAACTTTTATATTTAACAACTCAGAGACACTTTACATCTCTGTTATGGAACAAGTTATGCAATAAAACTGAACATGGTATATTTGCCTATATGTATAGGAAGGAAATTCGTCGTTAGTATTGTCGCCCGTCAATGCACTTAATTATGCAAGATCAGTATACTATCTAATTTTATTTTTTATTATACCGGTTTGTAATATCGTAAAGATCAATGCAAAAACATTATGCACAGCTCTTGTATTTCTTTGATTTATCCAAGTAGTCAAAGTATAATATTTAACAAACTTTTGATTCAAATAAAACAACGAAAGACACAAAATTTGTGTAAGCACCTGTTACATGCAACCTATGTATAAATGCATAATAACTAATATTGATATACGCATAACGAACTTAGTTTGTGATATGAAACATTAAGAAAAGTGTAAATTAATAAATAGGTTTCAAAATGGGTATTCCAGGTTTAACAATTTTCATAAACAATCGTTCAGATCGTTATTTGGAATATTTCGAGCCACGTGATACGTATTTAGTTATTTAGCTGTCAAATATATAATTCGTACAAGTGCAATTGTGTGTTTGGCGGTGATTACGATAAATACGCTCAACGAGTATCGGATTTTTTTGACGTTTTGTTAAAGTGCAATGTAGTACCATTAGTTTTGATCGATGGCGGTTGCAAGGATAAGAAACTGCAAACAGTTATATCTAGAACTAAAGAAAAGATTCGTACAGCATCATCTTTTTCTCCGATCTGTCAACAGAAAATGAAATTTTTTCCTTTACATATTTAGGAAGTTTTCAAAGATGTTACGAGAAAGAAGAATATTCGTCATGTGCAATGCTTATTCGAAGCTGATAATGCTATAGCTACTGTAGCAAGGGATATTGAATTGTCCTGTATCGAGTTATGATTCAGATTTTTATGTGTTTGGGACATTGTACATACCATTTGATACATTGGACAATTACCATTAGCTGCAATATTACTAGGCAATGATTATGTAAAACGTGGTACATTTAGAAATATCTTTCATTATTTAAAGTTACGACGAATAACAAGAAAAAGGTAAAGTAATCGACAGTATTGTATAGACCCTGTTCCCCTTGCCTTCTCAGGACTTTTCCCTTCGTATTTTGTTTCTATCTTTTAATAACTTCTTTCCTACTATATTCGTATCCCGTATTCCAGGCCATTTTCCAGAATCCATATCGCCACTCTTTAGATCCTCTACTCTCCCCCCGTCTTTATCTTCGACACCTCTTCTACTCCTCCGTCTGTCCTATCCATCCGCCCCCCTAACACGTTCCTTTGCACCCCGACCCCCATTTCCCGGCCCCCCTCTTTCCCCCGCCACCTTCTGTCTGTCCTCTTTCCTACCATCACTGCTCCTCTTGCTAACCCACTTTAACTAGTGCTGCCCCAGACCACCTCCTTCATCCCTGTCCAAAAACCACTATCGTCTGCAACAGGCTGCGTACCCCTTTTACCATTACTCTAGTCCCCTTCTCGACTGCGAATGTACACCCCGTGCCCTTGGTCCCTACTTTTGTATTAACCCTATGTTCTCCCTATCCACAGCCTTATTCTTACTGTCTCCGGTTGAGTCGTCGTACCCCATCCTCCACTCGCCCATCCGCTATGCGAGCCACCGCCCTACTCCTCACCTTTACATTATTTTCTTCGGTTCGCATTTCTCCTCCTCATTTCACTTCCTTATCCCTCCACCCTCTCATCGTATCCTGTACCATGTCACTCTCCCCCTCTGTTGGTTCCCCATTTCCCCTTTGTACCGGGCCTCTAGCAAGTTTTCAATTGTATACTTGTCGCCTCGTATTCCGTCCTGTCCCTCCATCGCATTCTTCCTCACCAGACTTTTCATTGTGGGCGCCGGTCCCTACCCTCTCCTCCGCTTCCCCGTTAGTTTGCCATCCTCTATGACACTCTACTATCCCTTGTCCCATTATTCAGTTAGCCCGATCCCTTTCTTGTTTGTTCCGTCTGGGTGTCGATCATCCACCATCTTTGCACTCTGCATTTGCCCACCCCTTTCTGCCC